GTCTGTATTTCACTAGACCAACTTTGACTAGGTTACTCTGTAAGCTGTTTATTGCTGTAATAAGCATACCGAAATACCAATAAACATAACATGGCAAGCTGCAAGACCATATTATGACGTAAGTCCCAGTAATATGAATAGGTAGAGATAGGAGTGTATGTACTCAAAGTGATGAAAATACCTATATACCTACTATTAAAGCCAGTTCCCAAGAATTCTGATAATCCGTATTCATTGTGTTTCTCTGCCTTAGGTATGCCTAAAGTAGGTAACGCGAAAACGAAAAGATACGTGCGAAATACTTTATGTCGGCCGATCTGTTTATGTAAGTTTATTGGATACCAGAGCACTGGAATTCCGATGTTGGAAGTATCGAAATTAATCAATATTTTAATACAAAGATGTTATTTACAGAAAAAAAGGATAGCTCATCAGACTATACATTTTTGTTGATGCTGCCGCACGCACATTGAGACGAAGCTCGTACGCATGTGCATTCCAAGCGAAAATTCAGTATTAGCATATTAGCATGGATCACAATAGTTACCAGTAACAAACTTTGCGCTTCACATGTTAAATTGTCAACGTGATCTAAAGCTGCAACGATTTTGTCGTATTTTATCGATTCGATATTACTATATCTCGAATGGGGTGGAAATAGAAAACTGAATAAATCGTTTCCATCCCAGATAAGCCTACTTTATAGGCACCCTTTCCAAACTGATATTTTATTCCCGTATGAATCCGTGTTGCTTGTTATCGGGTGTAACATGAAAATAAAATATTTCCGTTTCGACGAAATTTTAACTGCAAGGTTTGGATTAATTAATACGTTGTGAGATAGGTACTCAAAGCTTTTACATTTTCCGTTTTGTGTGTTGACCCAAAATATTATTTTAATACACATCGATTCATTTAAAATACAGAATGCGTAGGATAATAAAATTCGCATCAGTCGAAAATTATTGATACACCCACCATTAATTTAAAATCGAGTATCGAATAAAGAGGAAGAACGAACGCATAACGTTGGAAACTGATCTGTATTTGAACGTAATGTAATGTAACAATGTGAGTATTCCAGCGTATAGTTATTACAGCGAACCGAGTGAAACGAAGCTGAATGTTTCAGTAATTTTATGAATATGGCTGATACTCGCTCATGATATGATACTTCAATAATACAAAGTCACCCAACCCTGAAGGAAATGTTTCTTTGACGATATCGTACTCAGTACAATGGGACTTGAACTTGAATGAAAGTACGTATCTCATTATAGGAAGCTATTCGTTACTCTCTCGACTCTATAATCAAAAAAAGGACGATATAAACTTCCTTATTTTTTAAATCAGTCGAGATGTTGGATATTTTTTAAAAACATAATTATCGTTAGCATAATATTATGTTTCTTTTGATAGTACAATTAATTACATTTTATTATTTGCGTAACACCATCCATACATAAAAATAATTATGAATATCTCTACCTTTTGCGTTAAAATTCTTGTTAGGCAGTATTTTATTTAGTTATTATACTTAAATAAGTGGTAACTAATATTACGAACCATATTCAAATAATTTTAAATTCCAAAATAGATTTGCAATAAAAAATGAACCCCCATTTTTCCCCCAATCTCTCCTTCGACGCTGCTGTTTTAGAGCAATTCTTGTAACGAAGGTTATGACTTATTCATGTCATAAGTATGCCTTCGGATCCGTCGTATAATAAACGAGACAATAACGAAGGCCAGCTATAGACTAGGTATAGATTACTATACACAACGGCTATAGATACATAGGTAGGCCTTCACCAACAAATGCGCTGTAGTTGAAATGAAAGTCATCAAGCGGCAATAATTACTTCGCAATTCACTGAACCGAATTCAAATACACGAAATACAAAATTTGTAATTAACTGGCGATCGGCGTATAGATCTGCCAGATATTATTGGGCGTCTCTTTGCCGTAAACATCCAGGCAGGTCTTCATTAGCGGAGCACAAATCTGCAATGGAAAATGTAATAGGTGGATCTAATCAAAAGTTTCAAATCGTTCTGGGTATTGAAAGAGACTTGTGATTGAAATTTTAATGACCTGTCTGCTAATTCAAATACTCGCACCTACATAAAAGACAGCAATATTATTGATGTTATTAAATTAAGCTTTCAGTGCACTGGCTTGAATTTGAACCGATAGACAATAGTGTTATTCGAATGACTAAGCACCGCGAAGTCAAGCACACTCATGAATGAAATAAATTTAAAGCAAGCAACTGAATATTTTATTCGTAAAAGTAAAACTAGCTTTCAAACTAAGATATTGTTTACCTTGCCATAAAATCCCATAACCCAGCAGCCGATATTTACTCCCAAGTTGACATTAGTCGCGCAATGGTTAATAACAACATCTGTGTTAACCTGAAAGTAAGAACGCGTTAATTAAATTCCTACGGAATATGACTTAAATACATGATCTCTGAGAATTTCACGTAGCCCGTGCTCTTTGGATTGTATTATTTAATTAGGAACTTAATTGTTTTCATTCTAACATCAAACGCGGAACACACAAACATAGCTCAATACAGGTATATTGTGTTGTACGTAGATATTTTGTTTCATCATGACTGAAATCTGATAAATGTGCGTCAATCCTATTTTAATTAAGTAAGGAAATACGATTTCAAACATTAAGTACTTATAATTATTACAATCTGCAGAATATTATTGGAAAAACATTATTATTTGTACAACAGGTAATACTAAAGCAATGCTCAAAGTTAAGACTCTATCAATGAAACCTAGAATATAATTGCACCATTTTGGGAATTTTGAAGTTACTGAAACTGAAACACAATTGTTATCTCACACTGATTGGTTTCCCTTCTTGTTCAAAGCGCGTAATATTGGGTCCCTGCACTGGCAACACTCGCCAGCGCGTATTAGACACAGCATGCTTGCTCAGGTACAAAGGGTACATTCCACACAGGCCCGGGATCGGATTCGGATCGTACCTTATGTAAAGAGGCTGAAACACAATCTACCTTTCACCGATAGCCACTGACACAACATAATGTATATTTCCAATACGTCTGCGTCTGCGTAGCGCGCAAAAGGGACGAAGCTTATTGACATGAATGGAATTTTCGACCCTCACAAAATGCATGACGCTTCCCCAGATTGAATTTTTCCAAACCCTTGCTACTTTTGAAATAGCCGTATTCTCAATGTAGTTTATAAAGATTGAAAGAATTTTGCATGAAAAAGATCCTTTATAAATAGTTAACGTTCTGCCCAGTTGAAAAATAAAATGGAATCATGATCAACTTTATGCACAAGGGATTCCCATCATTACCTTTCTGCTAAGGGAAGACGACAAAGTTAGTAGAAACTCCTGGTTATACTTGAGTTGTTCACCATCTCGGTTGCAATAGTCCGCACTGGTTATGACGAAGGTGCTCTTTTCTGCTGGCTGCAGGTCCGGGAAGCCCATCAGCGCACACCCATCCTCCAACTGCTGGGAGTAGCTGATGTCGTTTGAAGATATTCGCCCACCGAGAAGAAGGCCATTTTTTCCCTCTACCGGTGGATCTGACGCTGCAAATTGTGTACTACTAGTTTGTCAAATCATTTGAGATTCATGAGTGACCATAAGTTAAAAAAACTAGAGTCACAATTTCTCCCAATACCCATTTTAGCATCTACCATAGCTCAATTAAGACCTAAATATACAAAGCCTTAAAATAAGTGCAGTAAACTAACTTAGAACATACGCTCTCAAACACTAGTGTGTCCCATCTGGCAATCGAACAAAAGTCGAAAGATTCCGACTCTAAGGTCCAACTGTGTACCTATAGAACTTTACACGATACATCTTACTTAATGCTTCCAATGTCGATTAATCATGGATGAAACTTTAAATGAACGGCGTTTTTAACTTATTTAATTAGATACATGCCTGGAACGTGAGGCGCTAGCAATGTTATTTTAGCACCAAATCCAATGGTACCAGACGATTGCGTTAAAACAGTGGGCTTGTTGAGATTCTCTCCCATTTTTCGATACCTTGCTAACATTAGGTCACCTTTTTTCATTTGCTCCAAAAATTTGTTCAATTTATACTAAAAGTAATATCAATGAAATTATTTGCTATTCATGGTTGTTAATCCCTTAATCCGAAACATAAGCCGCAAACCAATTTTTACATAAGTATTACCTAATACTTCTTCTACTAACCTCTTCCAATTTAGTAGCCTCATACCAATTCCCAATACGCACGCGATTACAAAATACTATTCCTTTATCTTCGTCCAACTTCGACATGATTATCGTAATTACAACTGAAAAAGTTAATAAAATAACACAAAAAATGCTCTCGGCACAATGCACAATGTTTCGTAAAATGACATAAACTGTCATGAAATTGTGTAATTGACGGCAAGTCAGCGGCAATTTGGGATGATTTTGAGAGTTTAATGACAAAGGTAAGGTTTTATAACGAATAACGAATTCATAATGTTGTAATCCGCACAGAAGTTTTGCCTGCACATGGGGGAGGATTCTTACAAGGATTTATCAGGCCGTACCTAACATGGAATTTTGTGGCGAACCCTCAATGGCACTAGACCGCTAACGAGCTGTAGACGGAACCCTTTGACATACCTTTGTTGGGACCGGGGTCTTCAAGAATTTGGTCTTCGTACAGCGGAAGAAACGATGCATGCTTGAGTAGATAGAAAAGCGTGGAAATATTAACGCATTGTATTTTAAATACGATTACTAATTAGACGTAGAACCAGTAGAACACAAAAACGCGAAGCTCCGCTTCTGTAGCGTTCAGCTTAGCACGCATAAGCGGGTGGCAAGCGACTTACCTACGTGTGGCACATTTATTTCGACAAATCGTGATCACTAAACACGCTTTAAAAGAAATAAAATGAAAATGTAGTATAATCATTTATTTTTCAACAATTCATTTCAAAAACAATAACAATAGCTTTCTTCTAATCCTTGGTCTTGGTTTCGACGTCGCTGACCAGTGTGAAGATGTTTTCAGCAGTGTGTCTCTTGTGGATGTCTATGTAGTTGCGACAGGTGACGCCGCATTCCTGTAATCAGATTAAACATTTAGTACCCGCATTCTCAAGCCGTTTGTATTAGCCAATATTAAGTCATCGTTTTAGCCACATGACGTCCACTCCTGGGCAAAGGCTTCCCCCAAGGATTTACAAAAAGTAAAACAGTTTTAAAGCTAATTAATTAAAAAACATGGAAAATTTACTTAAATAAGTGTAGACAATTATAAAACTCGTCTAGAAACATAATTTTTAAATTAACATAAATATTTAAATTAGTTACCGGGCCAAAGAAAGTTTGCATCCAATTTTGATTCATAACGCACAAACTCTTGTCTGCAATACAATTTTTCACTATTAACTTTGCTCCCGTCTGAAATTAAAATTACAGTTCGTATGTATTTTGTTTCAGTAGCTAATTACATGGGACTGAAACTTTCGTAATAATTTGAGAGTATTAATGTGAAGTTGCAGTTTGAATTTGAATTAGTGAAGGTTTATCCTACTAAAATGCCGTCGCATATAAAACTAACTTCTTTCGTTAGTATTTTATAATCAGTTAGGTATATCTTTTACCAAGTTTGTTCAGAAGAACGAACACAGAAGTCATGGGGTGGTTAAACTTCCTGCCTAGTAACTCATGTCGGTACGGTCAGTTTACTGTCATAGCTCATCTATCGAGCTTAATGAGCACCTTACGCTATGTTTGCAGATACTACGTGGTAGACTTTGTCGGTTCTTCTACACAGGTTAAGTAATTATGTCAGTTGTTGTTCACAAGTTCATATTAAATGCTAATTATTTTAACGTTAAGATTATTCCCTAAGATCCACGACTCTATTGTTCTACTTTTCCCACCGGGTCCATGAAAAAGGACAATGATATTCGCCAAAAAAAGGCACGATAATCAAATCATCACCAACCTTGACAGGACTCCCCAGGCCCTCGAGCCGCTCTCCTGGCAGGAGAGGAGTGGTGGTCCACCGGCAGTTGCTGTCCAGGGTGGCGCTGAGACGGATGGGCAAACGGTCTGCTGGGCCCGGTACTGCCTCTGGCGTGTACCGCACGTACAACGGAGCCGCCTAAGATACAGAACAAGACTAGTAACGCTTTCACATTTAGCCGACTTTAGCAGCGCGATTGTTGCGCGACTCGTAATTTCATAATATGACAGCCATTTTCAATGTGAATCCACTGCTGTCGCGCTTCTGACGCCCTAATGTGAAGGCAATTTAAGTCTAAAATGTGGAAAGTTTTCAAAATTATTTTCTTTCTCTTTATCTACCCTTGGGTAGGGTCGGTTCTCCTATTTCATTCCTTCTAATAAACTACGGTTGTCTGTATAATTTTAGAAATGACAAGAGTTCTCGATATCTAGGTACTTACGTGCTTTTGTAATAAAATCAGCCACAAGAGCCTCCTTTATAGCTAAATAGATAAGTCCCTACTTATACCTACTTATGGGATAATATGTTTATCTCAAAGCTTGTGTGCAGACTTTTATTTGGTAAGTAAAAGAAATGGTTACTATAAGTTTGCGTAACTTACTGTCTCAATCTGAAATACGATTTACGAAGTGACAACCCTAAACCAAACAAATGTTATTTCGTTCGACATCCACTACAAATATTATCTTTCATAATAGGTTTGTTAATGTCTCCCTCGTGTGTAACTTAATTGGAAATGTCATACGTTATTACTTATTAGATACTCACGTCCGGGTCGCCGTAGTTCTCAGCCCTGAGGAAAAATTCGTCGCCATAATTCATCTTATCTCCATGGAGAGTTATATCTTTTGCACTGTAATGTTAAATACGTATGCTTTAACTACGATACGATACGAACCAAGTGGCGCTTAATAGACAAAATTGGTACCTATCACGAAAGAGCACACGATGTAAAAGTACTAAGAAATCAGTTTCATTAGTTTGACAAGGGTTTACAGATTCGATAGGGCTTGTTTTTCCAAGAAGAAGAAGGTTTTTGAAGTCTCTATAAGTTATTTGACAGCAGTCTGAGCATAGTAACAACGAGTACCTATGCCAAAGCAATTGAAAGCAATTTACTACACTGCGACTGTTGTTAGTCGCCAAGTTCGGCAATCGAAAACTGTCCATAACCGGAACTCACAACTAGAGTTGCCATGACGGATACAGCAACTAGTTGCGCGTTGCAAGTTGCCAAAACTTGGAGATATGCTTCACCTGTGTTGGCGAATATTGGACTCTATACATATTGCTTTCAGCCTAAGGTTAAGAGGGAGAAGAAATAATATTGGCATAGATAAGTAAACCTGAGGATAACGAAGGTATTCCTGCAGCAAGGAGTGGTAATTGGAGAAAGAGTCATGAGGCAGCCGTCATTGAGGTTTTGCATGTAGTCCACTTGGCGTTCGCTGACCAAGCTCGACAAGGCAAGCCCGTACTGTGGTTTGCCCCCGGCCATAGTTTTTGCTTGAACCAACAAACGCGATTTAGGTACGTAATCAGAAATAGGTAACTTTTTCTACATGTTAACTACAACAATATTAAGTACAACTTATATTTAAATCAGGTCTTTGTTCTAAGATTTGTTCTAAGTAGAAACTACTTAAATCAAAATCCATCAAAAAGTTTAAAAAAATCGAAAATCCTACATAAGTACTTACTTCAAATAAAACTACTTATCTATTCATTTCATGCTTATCACAATAGTGTATAATATTATTAGGTCTAAGTAGGTACCTGGCATGTCGGAAGCTACTAATTGCACATTGAATCCGTACAACACAAAGGTGCCGCTTATTGCGAGAGGCCTCTAAAATGTAATAATAACTAACATTATAATGAAATATTCAAGCTACGAAGAACCAAAATGAAAAGCTATATGCTTAACATGTGGCATCTCTACATAATATCTCTATAATCTCTCAATACTCGCACCTCTTTCAGCAAATTACTGAAAAGATTCCTGGATCTTTGAAGAAGCAGCTCACGCCTGTCACGTTTTCGAAGAAACAGCTTAAATTCATACTGAAAATAAGAAATAGAAATAGAAATAGAAATGTTTATTTGTCTTTGAATAGGGTGTACAGAAGGTCGAAAATAACAAAATATGACAAACAAACAAAATAAGACATCAGGATCAAAGTAAATTGCAGTCGTAATTGATGCAATGCAAAATTGTTATTCCTGTACTGCTTCTAATACCCCACTAAATGTAAAAATAATATTCCGTTACTTAATGGAGAGTTCAACATAACACTAGGTAAGTAGGTATTTATGTATAATAATTTCTTACTTCATTTTTCAATCTCTCTTCGCTCCAATTTCCAACTAAAACAGAATTATTATAAGACATTTAAAATTTATTTAAAAAACCATAAAGGGCAAAATTATTAAGGTGCAAGGTGCATGCAAGTCAACTAATGAATTTGTCAAAGTAGTGTTTATATTACTTGACTGACGTTAATTGTGGCATTCAACTACAAAATAGTAAAAAGTATTTTGTGCAGATAAAAACATTATTTATAATTATAATATAATATACAGGGTGGCCAAAACAGTGAGGTCTAAAAGAAAAATTTAGATTCCTTACATCAAGGTGTACCTAAATCACCCCCATGTATATAATACGATTGTGCTTAGTTTAGGAGATAGAGTTAATTTTGTGATATTTTAAAATTTTATGACCTAGTAGGCTTTAAACATTTTTATCTTTTTTTTGGGTTGACTTTTTTCGGATTTCTTTTTTTTGAAAGATTTGTTATTAATTGCAGATGTTTGAAAAAAATAATCACCTTCCTATCTTTGATTCAAGATACAAAAGTTTTGCTAGAAACATTAAAATTATGATTTTATCAGAATACTATCAAATTTTCAACTTAAAAGTTTAAGTAAAAAAAAGAACTTCCATAGGTCCAAAATCATTTTAAAAACTGCGCCGTTTCCTGAACATTCATAATAATACAAAAAAACGTGTACTTAATGGGCCACTATTTCCTGTAATCGGTCCACAAAAGTGGTAAGTCGGAGATTTCGTTACATGTTTTTGACTTTCTTAGAGTGAATTAATATTGGGAATCCTCTAAGTTTACATTACGTAGAACAGATTTACCACAACATTATTCTCCGCTACAGGTAGAGACAATTTTAATTTTAACTAAAATGCTTATTTTACTTCGAAATCTTTTGTTTTTATTTGAAATCTAACTTGTCTTTATCAAAATTACAAATCTAGAGCCATTTTCAGTTTCGTTGTTACCGAAGCGTTGAATGGCGCGCCCGGAGAGGCTTAGTTCAAACAATCATTGCAAACGTAGTGATAAGGATAGAGACATGCGATTTTTGGTTTTACGAAGGTACTACGATAGAGAATAATACAAAGTAATAAAAACCACCGGTTATAGGGGCATTTTTTGGAGAAATTTATCAAATAACCAAAAAAACACGAATTTTTGAGCAGATTTTTTTCAAAAAGTATCATTTTTTATTATTTGTTGGCCTTTTTTGTGTATTTTATGTATTTTTTTAGTATCGCCTGTTATTTAGCATAATTACTGTTTTTATTTTATCAGGATATACCGCTTAGTTTAAAAGTTATTACGTTTTCTTTACAATAACTAATTGGAAGAAAAAAAAATCGATAAAAAATTAAAAAAAAATCTCAAAAATTTTTTGACCTCTTTTTTGTCGATAAAAATAGGTCTAGTTATATCTATTTTCATATGTACACTTTAACGTGACTCACACTGTATATTTATAATTTGTATCTCTCCTGTGGATAGGCGTCACGTGAGTCGCGAAGGCCGGTTTTTGTGGAAGGCATTCGTGGGGATACAGATCCAACCAGTCTCATCTGTGGATCCAACATAAATGTGTTGGGATGTTGTACACCTAGTGAATACTTTGAGGAGATACAGCCAAAGATAGAACCTGCTAAGTGAAAGGACTATTGTAACGAAGTAGGAACTAAATCAGATTGCTTTTACTGATTAGTATACCAGGATATTGATGAGACTATGGAACGCCTGCCACATCAAATGGTACATCTTGATAATAACGGCAGACGGAGACTAGCTGTTCCCTAAATGGGCCGCCCCATTATAAGCTACCTGATAGCAACAAGGGCAGCAACATTGGTATGTGAACGACTGAAGTTATCGACAGGTGAGACTACGGGGCGGATGATCGCGTTAACGGACAGCATGCATGTCCCCAGCACTATGACATTTTACATACTTGAGGGGGTGAAAGGTTAAAACGCCGACATTCACATAAAAGGACTTCTTGGCGGGAATCTGAAGCGTCATGTTAACGGTTTTGTTTTATTTCCTCAAATTCGTGTTTGGGCGTCTATTAATGTGTGATAATGGTAGATTATTAACCATTGAGTGTTCGTGAACTTGCATGAGTGTGGGCAAGTGAAGCAAAACATTGCATCGTGATTCTTCTGGTTCTCTCAAGTTGTCCATAGGAGGTCTCAGTGAAGCACCACAACTTTACTGAGACTCAAAGGGTGGGAAGGGGCATCATCTTTCATCCTTCATTAAATAATTACTTGATCTCATTTTGTAACTCGTATGACTTAAATACTTGATAATTAACTTTTAAAAAAAATAAAACCGACTTCAAATGCGTGAACACAAAAAAAAACTAAAAATTAAAAATATTGCGTATAAAAAAGTTCAACCCCAATTTTCCACCCTTGGGGGTGAAATATTTTCTTCAAATTCGCATGAAACCACCCTTTTGATAATACCTATTCAACAAAAAAATAATCGTTCAAATTGATTTATAATCGGCGGAGATATTGCGTATAAAAAAGTTCATCCTCAATTTTCCACCCTTGGGGGTTGTTTTTTCTATTATTAAATTTAAATGGGACCACCCTTGAGGTATTACCTATACGCCGAAAAAAGATTTGTTCAAATCGGTTCATAATTGGCGGAGTTATCGCGTAACAAACATAGAAAAAAAAAACATACGGGTCGAATTGATAACCTCCTCCTTTTTTGAAGTCGGTTGAAAATGGCACAAATCAAGTCGACCTCGACGTGTATTGCCAACATCATCAAAAAAGAAGAAGAAGACATTCACTTAATCCGCTGGCACTGGAAGCGTAGTACCAGCCACAGTGTTCATATCCATTATAATATCTTTGGCATTATCGTAGTTCCGAAATGCAAGAAAACATCACAAACAGCGTTTGTAAATTCACGTTCTTAAAATTAAATAATGATTCCTCAATGTAATTTATCAGTTTCATACAGTTCAACAATTTGGTATTATATCAGAGTAAATAGACTAGCGACTAGAATGAAATGTTAGTGATTTACGTTAAGTGAACCTTCCAATTTCCGTTATTTATGCTTGTAGAATGAGAATTCGGAACGTACTGATCATATTATTTACAAAATCTTTGGGTTTGTATCACAGTCACTGACATTCATGATGTCATCATGCTTGTCTTGTCACTCACGTCAGTTCAATCAGGGTGANAGAGGTATTGGCATTTGGCACCGATTTTATTTCTATTGTAATTTGTTTTGGAATAACTGGGAATAACATTTTAAAAAATGTTCAAAGATCATTTTTTTTATGTAACACTAACCATAGCTTGTATTGGAGTATGGAGTGTTGAGAGTAAAGTTTTATCCTCTATTGATAAAGTTTATAAAAAAGGTGTCTCAGCATACTCGGGTGAGAGATGGACCGAGTGTATAACACAATTTGAAGAATCCCTTTATTTGTATAAGCTTTACAAATCAGTTGCTGTTAACTGTAGGCTTAAGTGTAGAGCTGAACCATACGAAACTTACATTAAAGAAAACATAGAGGATTTGAAGATTTATGAAAAGTTCTTGAATAAAAGAAAATGCTTACTCAAATGTCTAGAGAAAGGTTTTGATGATGTCCGTGTTTCAAGTGATGTACATGAGTCAACACTCTTCAATATTCAGGCAAGAAAACCATATGAGTATTTACACCTTTGTTATTTCCAAATGTATGCATTTCAAAAAGCGGCATCTGCTGCATACACATTTCTTATAGCCAACCCCAAAGATGAGACTATGAAGAATAACCTTAAATACTATAGTGAACAACCAGAAGTTGATATAAATGAAGTTGTTGACCTAGAGAGTGAAGATTATAAAGTCCTTTACCATCTTGGCCTAAAATCCTACAAAAAGAATAACTGGGCTGAAACTGTAGCCAGCATGGAAGAAGTTTTGACAGACTATATGTCTTCCGAAAATGTATGTCGTGCTGAATGTGAGAGGCAACCAGAACAGGAATCAACTTCAGAATTTGTTTTGACTGTATCTAATAATGTTGCCTCACTTTTACATTGTCATCAACATTGTCAAGAAAAACTTAAAAGTCTGGAATACAACTCTGGCATAGAATTTCTTGCGGATGTGCTTAACTATTTACAGATATCTTACTACCATCTAGATAGATTTGAAGATGCTGCAAAGGCTGTAGCAAGCTACTTGGCATTGATGCCAGATGATGAAGATATGTTAGAGAATAAAAAAATGTACAGCACCCTTACAGATGCAAAATCATTTTCAGAAAGAGAAACTATAATCTATTATATGAACCGAGACCTGTATGAAAAAAAACTCATTGAATTATTTCATCAAGAATTTAATGATTATCACACTCAATCCAATGCTGTTTGAGTATATTTCATTTGTTTTTAAACAAATGTGAAACCAAGTGCCATACTTACTTTTATATCTAACTTTATTATTAAGTAAAACCAAAGTTGCAAAGTTTTTGAATCAATTAACCATTGAGGTGTAGTGTAGAAAATAACTTCTATTAACAAGCTTTTGGATGATGCTATTGACTGTACTAAATGATAAGAAAATGGAACAAATGTGATAAGAAAAAGTGCCATATTTACGAAACTTTAAATAATAATATTATATTTTTAAATTTTTTACTAGTACTTACTAATTATGAAAAAAATAACGCATTTATTTTTTCAAAAATAAATATTTTTTATTATATTAATATTATACCCAGTGTGTTCAATTGCTTTCGTGTTTTCCCAAGTGCATGTACACAGTTTCCCTATCAGTTGTACACAAAACTATTTTCCTTTTTTATCTCACTTTTTTTCACTTTATTTTTTTTATTATTGTAATTAAATAAAATTACTTATAGATGTATGCCATAAATTAGATTTATCATGTCATATCAAATACAAAAAAATACATTATCATCAATAAAGTCATTAAATACAAGTCATTGTTTAAAAAGCAAGCACATATCGTCATAAATTATATGACTGTTATTCTAAAAATTATTTAAAAAAATGCTGTACCTAAAGTTTCATCAAAATCCGTTCAGTACTTTTTGCGTGAAAGAGTAACAAACAATATTATATCCAGACATCCACACTATAATATTATATCATAACGTGCAAACCACACGCAAAAGCTAAATATTTAAATATAACGGGTGATAAGCGGAATTACCCTTTAACCCGCGTCTGCATGTTGGGCATCGTTTCTCAACCTTCAAAGACCGCTCTAAACATTTCAAGCAATAGACGTGGCCACATTTTGTAGAAGCTAAAGGATTACTGCCCATCTTATCCCAGCAAATGGGGCACTCGCCCCAGTCGTATGACTGAGTTTTCGGACTGCTTCTTTTTTCTTTGTATGAAGATCCACCACTCCCCGTTTTTTCAATATGTTGCTGACGGTGCTGAAACAAAGAACAAGTACCTATCATATCATGCTATGATTAATTTACCTTCGTTTCGTCAGGAAATGCATGAAATTGCATACCCACTGGCCCGGGGGAACCAGTGGGTTATGTAAGGCTCTCCCTGCCAGATGGGCAGGGCCTACTCACTAAAACCTGACGGTGTCCTCCCGAAGTCTTTGGGACAGTGCTGCGAGTTATTGTCCGAGCTAGACGGCCTAGACATTCTTTCGCGGCTCCGCCCCAGACTGTGCCTCGCTCTGTTTGAGCAAGCGACGACTGGCTTCAGGCACAAAATATAACAGAAGACAAACTCCATACTAAACGCGCTCGAGCCACGCACACATAGACACCGCTCCTAGCAAGACTGTCTTGGACGAATGCGAGCGCGACGTGGCGCGACAGACGTTCGCTGTGGTTCGCTTGAGTCACGCGCCGGTCAACCGCCTGTGATATTATTTTGTTTTGCGAAATTGACGAAAATGAGTGAACAGAAAAAGTCTTATTAATTGTTCGGTATTTGGTTGCTTAAACTCATCATTAAATACCGAATTTTCATTTTTTTAATTACCAGTTGATTCGGGGAGGTAAGTAAGTTATTTATTTGAATTTCAATTGAAATTGAAAGCCAACTCAATTATTAGGAATATCGAATTGTTTTAGAGAGGTTTTAGGAATTATTGGATAACTAGCTTTTGCCCGCGGTTTCACCCGCGTGAAATTTAGTTTGTCACAGATCGTCATAAATTATAGCTTATGTGTTATTCAGGGTTATAAACAATAATACTGTAAAGTTACATCAAAATCCGTTCAGTAGTTTTTGCGTGAAAGAGCAACAAACATCCAGACATCCAAACTTTCGCATTTATAATATTAGTTGGATAATAGTGTCAACCACTCAACTAAATACTACTTCCTTCTCGTGTATTTATTTNGCTTAAAAACTTGAAATCGAACCGCCCTTCCGCCACTGTAACGCATTGTAACGTTTTTCAAGACCTCCACTCCTCCCAGATTGCATTACGTAACACTAGAACGCCCCCTTAGCAACAAATACCACTTCTCACTTTAAAAAAACGCTATTTTTGTTTTCACCCACCAGAATGGGTGATAATGGGTAAAAACCGGGTTTTTACCCAAATCTCCCAGTTTAAACCCAATCGGGTGAAATGGGTTTTTACCCACTACCCATCTCTACCTACGGTGTCCTGGACGTCGGCGACGGTTCGGTGGAGCGTCAGGCGAGGCCTCTCGCTCCCTCTCCGCCGCTTATTTCTGCGACATGACCTCCTCGCAGAAGTGGAGTGCCGCATGACATGCAATGTAGGTACCTACTTACCTAAGTTAACAGGCCCTATGTACGTACATTTAATAATTTCTACATTATGTAAGTACTGTGTGTACGTACAAAAACTATTTTGTTATTTTTCAAGAGGGGCACCTGGGGCCCTCGCTCTGCGCTACTTCAGGGCGCCCTAACCCATAACCCTAGGCACGCCAATTAATTTTACATTTATTAAAGACGCGAATTAGGTATTAAAATATGTCTTACCTTTTTATTAGATATTTTTTCTTGTACAGAATTAATATTCCGCTCGTCATCGGTGTCCAACAAATCTATTACAACAACGTTGTTGGTTTTAAATTGGTCTTGATCAGTCGCAAAACTCACAAATGATCGAGTTAAATCAATTACAGCGTCGGAAGTCATTTTTATCACTATTTTACGCAGAATCTTGCGTGAAGTTGCGTGTGGTATTTAAATAAAGTTAAATAAATAGTTTGAATATCTACCCCCATAATACAAAAAAGTCAAACCCGGGACGAACAATGATATTTCCGTACTGAATTATCTCTTAGCAGCTGTTATATTTTTATGAATAAAGAAACGAGGGTAGGTTGTAGGTTTCTTCTTTAATATTCTGTTTAATGGCTATAATGGTGCGTATTTGAAGCACACTGGTTTCGCCAACTTCTTTTTTGATGTTGGCACAGGCAGACAGCTCTACCACAAGCTCTACTTTCTAATCTGTGGTCGTCTACTATAGTCAGCTCAGCTCCATGAAACTAAAGATAAAATGGAGGCCACACTTCGAATACCTACTTGAAGCACAACTTATGTATCACTATCTCACTCTCAGTGGGCATACTCTCTCTTTCTAAATAAAAAAAAATATATAAATTTGCTCAAAGTCAATGAAACTCAATGTGAAATCTTTATTTCTTGACATAGGTATAATTAAATAATGTGTAAATACTGGTAAAACGTTTTAGGAAGAAATTACTGTGAAAAATGTTTACAATGATCCAATGTCGGAAATCACGATTTCAGATTGTATGAAGAATCGGCCAAATCGAATCGGCGTAGTGTGCGCACTCCCATACATGCCCATACTTATCAACTGCTCGACTAAACTATCGGCCGACAAAAAATCAACGGTGTGTGCCTACTCTTACGCGTGGAATCTTAAGTCACTTCCGGGACACCACATACTACCGTAACCACGCACTACAAAATTTTGCACCATTTCTTGTGATAAAACAATGATTAGGTCCTCAGTCCTGTAAAAAATCTCAAACGAAATTAACTGCATAGTAAACAAAATAGTAAACAACCGCCATGATGGGCCGGATTGGGCCGATGTTGCCACATGGTACGGATTCCTCAGGAATTGGGATTGTAATTCCCTGATTCGCCAACACATTAAGCCTAAACGGCCGACAATTTTGTGATTTTTAATTTAACTAGGTAATCGTAGTTCAAATATTTAATTATTTATTTGTTTAACTTCTGATTTGGTTAGTGAATTGGCTATTTACTGATGAAGAATTTACTAGGAGATTTAAATAAGGAGATAGCAATACTACAGTCCAGAGAGGTCGGCCTACAGAGAGCGAGATAGAGATAAGTAGGTATTTGACTCAAGTTTTTGTTCCAAGTGTGGCCTCCATTTTTATCTTCAGCTTCATGATGGTCAGCTCGCTCCATTGAGGTACCAATTATGTGGAGAGGCCCTATTGATCTTTCTGTACAAAAATATATCAAATCAACATAATAATGACAAACATTTGTTTATCTCCTTCTTACTTGTAGTGTGGTGACGTATGAAAAAAGATGTAGATAATGTTTGGTAAAGCCTGACCAGGAACATAAAAACCCTGGCATAGAGGCGCGTCAATTGCATTTGATAGTGCAACACTGAGTACAGTCCTACCTGTGTTTAATTAATAGGCTAACTTTATGTACTTATCAGGATTCAGGATTATGGGCTAATTTGATATTTTCATAAATTAAAGAAAAAACATTATTATAGGTAATCTAGTTTAAATAAATTAAATGAAACCATCAATCGAGCCAGTAGGATTTATTTTATTATTCATCAATAATCAAATTCAGAACTTGAATATTTAACTGCAATGTCTGCTCATGAACGCTTCAAACTCGGTATTTCTTTCCCAATTCCATAAAATTCAACACTTAGAAAGTGACAAAATACTTTAAAATAAGTAGTTGAAACAAACCAGAGCTAATTTTCATAGTGGACTGTACTATATGATAAACATGTCAGTCAATTTGACAACCTTTGTCGGAAACATTATTCAATGAAAATATTGTCCGAACCCTTAGTATTTCTCTTCGACAAATACTTTAACACATTGTGAACCACTTTTCTTTCACGACTATAAAAAGATTTTAGCAATTTAATTCACAAAATCAATTGCGCACATTTAAAATAAAGTTTGTTTACACTTTGACAGCAATAGACTGACATGCAAGGTGACGTATCAATGAAGTTTTCAGTTACTGTTGCCATTAAAAGAAATTAGTACCATTAATTTTCCGCAACATGGCGAGGGTTTTTATGTTCCTGGTCGGGCTATAAATAGTACATTTTGGCAACTGTTGGCAACATTTTCAACTGACGTCACCCACCAACTATTTCTGAAAATTTCTTGATGTTCCTCTTTCTTTCCTAAATCATGTATGTACCTACTGAGTACGATTATTTTCTAAGTATGCCCGGTCCATAGTTAAAGGGTTTGTGCCTTGTACCCAAAGCCGAAAAACTTCATTTAAAAAAAACTCAGAGCTGTCAAAAATTAGTTTTCGGACATATTTTTATTTTGCTCTGTTTCGTGAATTCATGAAAATAATGCAACTAAATTAACGTACTGTAGAAATGAAAATGTTTATTTAGCAGTCAACCATCCACACCAAGCTATCAAACTAATGCAAGTGTAACTTGTAGTTAATCTAGTGCGGGACAAAAAGTTGTGATTTGTGTGACTGATTTCGCATCTATTTCGCAAAATCAATAGTTTTAGATCGAAATCTTGTCTAATGATTGAGGGCTCAGTATTAATCTACAAAGCTCTGTGCTCTTTATAAGGTTTCTGTGCTTTTAGTTACAGTTTTAATTAATTTCCACGTAAGTGTTTAATTTAATTGCAATCTCATAGAATTCATTTCTGTATTAATTTGTACTTGATAATTAAAACACACGTTATTTTTGCAGGATGCATTTGGGGGTAAATATTTCTAACGCTCTACAGCAATTGGAGAGTGTAAAGGCTGCTGTAGATCAAAGTGACGACCCAAAATTAAAGGTATTATTATGCTTGAGATGAACAAAATTGCTTGTGTGACTCATAAAAAGTACATGTAATAATGTAGCTATATTCATAGAATTACAACAGAAATACAATTTGTTTTCAGGCGGCCACAAGTGATGATTTGACTTTGCTTATCAATTTACTGGATAGCCCTATATTGAAAAGCATTGCTACATTACATGACTCAGTTGGAATGCTTGCCACTCAAGTGGCACATCACCCATCTATTCTGCCCAGTGATTTTGATATTACTCCAGCTGGTAATTATGAAACTTCTGTTCAAATTATGCTTTGATTTTCATAATGTTATCCCTGTATTTTTCAACTGAAAGACTAGCACAGCAACTAATTTCTATAACCAGCCCAGCACTGCTTGTATCCAGGTGGAGTCTTGTATGAATAACTATTTCTCAACAGAATTGCTGCTGAAGGATTTGCCACACTGGAGTAGTTAACAGTGACATTCATACATGATGAAGGCTGTAATTTGACCTGTAGGCCTAGCATGCGCGCCGCGATAGCGGTTATCACGCCGTTTTATCGATTTTTCCCACACATTTTGATGTCGATAAAGTTTATCACGGCGTGCAACCTAGCCTGGCAGATCACAGAACACATCCAGTGTAACAAATGCATTTAAACCAAACAAAAAATATTTTGGTTTATATTTCACTTACTTCCAGGTGACTTGGCTTTGCAAGCAAGAAATTTGTATGGCAGTAATGAAGGGGAAGAGGAACAAAGAGTGCCTCAGGTGTCTCCGCCTCAGAGCCTGGAATTTGGGTCCAGTTCTGATAACGAACGCATTTTAGGCCTTGACAGTGCCTCAGTTGATTCCAACATGTCACCAAAGCAGGTTATTACAGTGACTTTTAAAGTATACCTTACATTCATTATTGTATTTAGTAATTATCTTCCTGATTCATTATAGTAATGACTAATAATTTATACTAAACCATACACATAATTTCCACATTAGGAATTTACATTCTTGTAGAAATTCACTACAGAATGTATTACAAGCTTATGAAATACAAATTAAGGCCATCAATATAATTAAATTTCAGAGCCGTGGAATTTTGGATTTGTCTCGAAATGATGATTCTTTGGCATCAACATCACACAATATTGTAGCTGGTGACTGGGCTCAAGTTGAGATTATAAACCTGGTGAATGATGGAACTGGTCTTGGATTTGGTAAGAACATAATAATTTATCAATCTAAATGTGTACATTCTCAAACAGATTTTATAGCATGAAATTCGTTGTGAGTTGCTGGTTAATACAAAGTTCCTTTTGCTGTGATTTGACAGGTATTATTGGGGCAAGAACTAGCGGTGTTATTGTCAAAACGATCTTGGCGGGTGGTGTCGCGGATCGTGACGGCCGCCTGAAATCTGGCGATCATATCCTGCAAATTGGAGATGTAAGTTATTAAATTTATATCCTTGGACTTTTAAAACTGTCATCTAGCATGCACTATGAGTACCAGAGACATCAGACATAAATACAAATTCTAACCCGCTGTAGCATAAGACATAAATTAATTATGTGTATGAATTATTGAATAATTTATTAAAATATGGATAAAATGTATGAATAAAACGACCTTCTTTCAGCTGTCAAAGAGAAGAAGTTGATTTTATTTTGTTTAGAAGAAAAAGTAATAAAAAGTATAAAAACTCCTTGTTGGTTTCCAACATAGTCTCGCGCGCGAAATGCAACACGCACTAGAATTAAAGTTACTTGTATTAAACAATGAATAAAAACTTATGATTAAACTAACTGAACTTGAAATTATTACTCTTAAAATACAATTATGAAAGATAACATTTTCAGGTGTATAAATCAAAGCAATCATGAAATCTAGATTCTTAGCAATCTCTGGAAATGTAGCGGTCTATGTATAACATTATATTTTCGAATTTTATCAGAACACATAAGCAATTAAAACAAACACAAAACACTTAACATTCATATTGAAAGATAACTGAAATTAATGTAAATAAAAATAAACTTGGTTCAAGTTTCCTCACTTGTATGAATAAAAAGATATCATAATGTAAAAGCAATGAAAACCATCGAAACCATATTTATGAATGGATCAGAGTCACCAAGACACCCATCGAGTTTGACCCAATGTATGAAATACCTTTGTATTATAATATGTATGAAGACCTGGCATGACGACTAAGGCCTGATTACAAAAAGAAGCTTGACTCCCTGAGTCTAATACAGTCTTGACGACATGAGGCATATTATTTTGCCTGTGTGAATAAGTAGAAGGAAACAAATTATTATTTGGATGAGTATGTACAGTTTCAGATTGACATGAATTATTTACATTGTTGGATGCATGCAATGAATTAATATGTACAGGTTTTGATTGCTGAAATGAATTATTATGTATTAAAGAATTATGCGAATTCTCTTTGCATAAGGAACATGTAAAATTGTATCTACATTTTTGTGCATGCTTATTTAAACATATTTTACATAAATTGTAATTATTTACATGTGAAAGCCTTTCTGAAAGCGTCATTGATAAAAAAGTAGGGCATTTGTACAATTTGTGACAACTATTTTTACATAATAAACAAGGAATCGTTGTAGATTTTACATTATGACACTTTGGATTCGATTGTGTATTACAAGTGGAAATATGAAAAGACCTCGAAGCCCTTTCTGTACGGCTCGTGTCACAAGCCGAGCTAGCCTCGAGCGAGATAGCACGTCTCTCTAAAAAACTCAACAGCGACTCCATACTGGGCATGCTACGAAAGTCCTGCTCTGCATTAAACAATCTTACAGTCGGTGAATCTAATTTTTTCATCATAATGCAAACCAATATGGAGTCCCAGCTATCTACAGGTTCATCATAGCTACGTAGCGCGCTCATTTGCTGCGAAATCTGTGACACTAAGGAACGGATGGCCTGGGCAGTGCCACGCGTAATACTAGGCAGCTCTAAAATAGCACTAATATGCGTTTTAATCATTAGTCCCTTAGTGTCGTATCTCCTATTCAACAAAGCAAGAGCGTCATCATACGACTGGTTTATGAGAGGCAAATTATTTACAAGATTTAAAGCCTCGCCCTTTAAATAGCCCTTTAAATAAAATAATTTTTGAACATTAGACAACTTACAGTTTTTGCCTATGAGTGCCATAAAAAGTTCTATGAATGGCTTGTATGAACCGACGTTGTTACCGTCGAACGATTGGATCTCTATCGGAGGCAGCCTCGTAGTCTCGAACAGCGGCGTCGAAGCGTCCACGGCACTCGCAAACCCCAGCGGCGAAGCACTGCTGCGGCGGTCCAGAAGAGCGTCGATCCGGGAGAGGACATCGTAATAGCGTTCCTCGAACTCCTCTTCACCGTCCAACACCTCCTGGCCTTGTAGAATGGCCTCGTCCGCCAGCTGGTGGTAGCGCGCGAATGCTTCTTCTACTGCTTTCCTTCTGTTCGTCAACTCGAACACACTCGGGTCTGACTTTTTGTCCAAAAAAGTAACACATCGTGTTATAGCGGCCTTGCATTGTCCTTGTAATAGTTTGATTTTTTGGTTAGTGTCACCACAAACCTGGGTAGCCATAATACCTACTGCAATCGGCAACTATGCCGGCGTTGGCCCTCGGGATAATTTTCCAGCAGCACACAAAAAAACCAATGTGAACGATGTATGGGTTTCGGCACCAAATTTATGTAGCATAAGACATAAATTAATTATGTGTATGAATTATTGAATAATGTATTAAAATATGGATAAAATGTATGAATAAAACGACCTTCTTTCAGCTGTCAAAGAGAAGAAGTTGATTTTATTTTGTTTAGAAGAAAAAGTAATAAAAAGTATAAAAACTCCTTGTTGGTTTCCAACACCCGCTTGAATACGAAAACTCATTGATACATGTCGACATTGCGAGTTTACTCGTGAGGTGCATCAAACGAGCAACATACACTTCTTTACAACTACATAAGTTGACACATCACTTAGGCGATTATCACACTGCACCGCGCTCCGCCGCGGTACGCGGGACGACAGATTTAATCATTATATGCAAGTGCCTCAGTTTGTATAGAAAACACGCGCGGCACAACACACTGACAACGCGTTTGCGCGCGGGATTCGTTATATGTTGCCACGCGGAGCGCGGTGCAGTGTAATAATCGCCTTAGGTTATCGTGTTCTCGTTACAAGCCAAGATCTATTGTTTTAGGTGAGCCTAATGGAGATGGGTTCGGAGCAGGTGGCGGGCGTGCTACGCGCGTCAGGATCACGCGTGCGTCTTGTGGTCGCGCGCGCGGTCGACCCCGCCGCGGCGCACGCGTCACCCGCGCCCGTAGTGCCTGCTAGGTGAGTATAAGGCGTTGATGGAGATAGGTTATGACTAGTTCGGAGCAGGAGGCAGGCGTGCTGCAGCTCGGCTCGTTGTCATGCTGTTGACCCCGCCGCGTCACCCGCGCCCGTAGTGCCTGCTAGGTGTGTAAGCTGATGGAGATAGGTTCGGAACAAGTGGCGGGCGTGCTGCACTCATCATCGTCATTAAAAAACAATCCTATAATACTAACCAACCAAGGACAGTCTGCCTTGCCAAGGGTCTTAGGATCAAGAGGGGCCATTTTCCTATGAAAAAAAAAGTAAATTGCAATTCATTGAATGTTTCAGCAATTGCGTTAATATCCACAGGTGACTCCGCGATAATGGGATCCTGGGCAAAGTTGGAATTAAAAAGAGGCTTGATAATATTGTTTTGTTTACTATCATCATAGAAAATCTTTTTTTTTAAGTAAGAGTGTAGTTGCCTACATGCAAAGATTGTAAAATTTGCGATACAAAATAAGCTGGTATTCGTACGTGTAACAAATAACAATAGGAACTGAGTCATTTGTATATTGCACGCTGACATCATTTCTTATTTTACCAGGCTCCTATCTGATCCAGAGGCGCTGGATCGTTACCTCATGGATGCTGGTTTCGAGCAAGTCTTCCACACTCAGCCGACGCCTGTATCTCTGAACTCTACGTCTACCAGATTTGTCTTTGACAAATCTATAACACCACCTCCAGAAACAGGTAACAAAATAATCTGGATCTCAACTTATTCTTGATTTTGTCTTGTCTGAATTTGTTTATAATTCTTTCTGTTTTTACAGACGCAGAATCGCCAGAAGTTGACAGATTTACTGTGCAGTTAAAGAAAGACGAAAATGGCCTTGGAATAACCATAGCAGGTAAAATATCCACATAACTGTCTTAATAAAATGACAGCATCATCATCGTCTCAGGCATAGGACGTCCACTGCTGAACATAGGCCTCCCCCAATGCTTTCCATGTTGCCCAGTTGGTAGTGCCCTGCGTCCAGCGCCTTCCTGCTACCTTTATGATGTCATCGGTCCACCTTGTAGGTGGACGTCACACGCTGCGTTTTCTGGTACGCGACCACCACTCCAGAACCTTGCTGCCCCATTGGCCGTCAGTTCTGCGTAATATGTACCCTGTCCATAGCCACTTCAGCTTGCTAATCCGTCGGGCTATGTCAGCGACTTTAGTTCGTTTACGGATCTCCTTATTTCTGATTCGATCTCGTAAAGAAACATCAAGCATAGCCATCTCAATAGCACGCTTTGCCTCTCTTTTAGCCTCTAATGATGACAACCACAAGAAATTATAATGTTTCTGTTATCAACAGGCTATGTATGCGAAAAGGAAGAGCTTTCTGGAATATTCGTGAAGTCAGTGACAGCGGGCAGCGCAGCCGCGCTCAGCGGAAAGGTGCGGGTCAACGACCGCATCGTGGCTGTCGACGGAGTGTCCCTCGCCGGCAAGTCCAACCAGCGCGCTGTGGACGCGCTGAAACAGAGCGGGAATGTGGTTACGCTGGAGTTGGAAAGGTTAGTTGCTGTTAGATAAGATCCATAAGAATAAGAGCACAGCAGACATGCTACTTTTAGCATCGGCGATCGGCATTTGGCAGCTGTATCGATGCAAAATCGTGATTTCGCGACTTCATTTGTTGGGAAGTGGTATCGGAATCGCGCGTTTTAGCAACATCAGTGGCTGTATCGAACTTCTAAATAGCGACTCAATCGCCGCCGCTGCCTTAGAATGTGTGGTCGCTGTATTCAACTTCTAAAAAGCAGCTAAATCGCCGATCGCCAATGCTAAAAGTAGCATGTGTGCTGTGCCTCTAAAATAAAACTGTCAACTCAATCATCAATCAGGCGCGGGTCCTCAATATTGGGCACGAAGGGCATCTCCACAACCTCATAAGACTTGTGACGTTACACTTTCATGGTCTATTATAATAATAATGATGAGAGTTACTCAGCCATAGGACGTCCACTGCTGAACATAGGGCTTCCCCAATGCTTTCCATGTTACCCGGTTGGTAGCGGCCTGCGTCCAGTGCCTTCCTGTTACCTTTATGATGTCGTCGGTCCACCTTGAAGGTAGATGACTCACGCTGCGTTTTACGCGGCCTCCACTCCAGAAACTTGCTGCCCCATCGGCCGTCAGTTCTGCGTACTATGTGCCCTGCCCATTGCTGAAAACAACTTTTTACTATACAGATACCTCCGCGGTCCGAAGTTCGAGCAGCTTCAACAAGCGATCGCTGCAGGCGAGTCGGCGGCCATCGTGGCGGCGCCTCACAATCCTTTCCTGCACATGCACCGTCCTGAGTCGAGCGCCGAGCGCGACATACAGATGACGCATCTGCATAGCTCGTGAGTGTCAACAAAAGTTTCTTGAATTTATACCTTGTTCTCCTAGACATAGGGTCAACTTCACCTGCCTCGATAGGATGCGCGCCGTGATATTTTATCGACGTCAAAATGTATGGGCAAAATCGATAAAATGCGTAATAACCGCTTACCGCAGCGCGCATCCTAGGCCTACAGGACATATTTTATTGCAGGAGCATGATTAGCTCATTTACCAGAGAGAGTTAAACGGAAGTTTCAGCCTACATTCCCTAAGCTGGCCTCCCAGCTTAGGGGAGGCAAAGATTTTTTATTACATCGGGAAATGCTTTACTGATATCCATTGGCCGATAGACCATGCGGGACTCTTCCTCGCCAGGGCTAGTTCACTAAAGATTGAAGGACGGGGCTTACCCACCGGAGCATAAGTTATTGTCCTAACTTGAACATTCGTCTGTAGCTCCGTCTCTAAGCTACGGCTCGCTATCGAGATAGCTATTCCCGCTTCGAGGGGACCCCGTTGGCCCTCGGGAAGGCATAGACATAGGATAAGGCATACTATCTTTGTACAATACACCATTTGAGTTACTTCATTACCACCATGGTCTCAGCAACAGAACATCCACTGCTGAACATAGGCCTTCCCTAATGATTTCCACATCGCCCGGTTGGTAGCGGCCTACATCTAGCGCCTTTCTTTCTGGTACCTTTATGAGGTCGTCAGTCCACCTTGTGGATGAACGTCCCACGCTGCGTTTCCCGGTAACGTGGCCTTCACTCCAGAACCTTACTGCCCCATTCGGCCGCTCGTTCATCGGCTTTCAGTTGATTTACCTAATAGTGACTGAGTTTCTTGCGCTGCTTCTTCTCAGCACTGGCCCATTTATTGTCCTGAAGCAGTGGTAGGGTTAATACTGTGACGTTCATTCGTTCGTTTCAGCCGAAAGACGTCCACTGCTGGACAAAGGCCTCTCCCAAGGATTTCCACAAAGACCGGTCCGCCTTCACCAGATCGTCGGTCCACCTAGTGGGAGGCCTGCCCACGCTAAGTCTTCCAGCTCGTGGTCGCCACTCAAGAATTTTCCTGCCCCAGCGGCCATCAGCTCTTCGAGCTATGTGCCCCGCCCACTGCCACTTGATTTTAGCGATTCTGCGGGCTATGTCAGTCAGTCTCACTGTGACGTGTAAAAGTGTTTTTTAAAAGCCTAAATAAATGAGTTTTATGAGTGTTTAATCCTTCAAGGCCCGCGAATCTAGACACAATAGATAATCAATTGTTATGACATTAATGAATGCCGTCTGGGACTCAAGTGGTTAATACGCGATAGTGAAGTTGCATTCTGCGCAGGCTGGACAGCACCGTGGAGGACGCGCCGGCGTCGCCTCCGCGCAGCCCGCCGCCGCCCGCGCCGCGTCCCCAGCCCGCCTTCGAGATGCCGCGCTCGCAGGAACAGAAGGACGCCATCAAGCGCAAGTGGCAGGCCATACTTGGTATGTTAATGTAGTTACATAGATTAAATACATATTTTATTCATATTATTTTGCAGAATTTCTAACACTGCCTATAGATTGCTGGCATGTTTACTTTTTTTTTTTTCAGAATGTTTAAAAATGGTATCGCCGATAAAACTTAACTTTGTTGACTCTATTCTGCTCATGTTCTCAGGAGAGTAATAACACGAGGGTGTGAGTTTGAACTCGTTTTCTGGGAAAGAAAGAAAATCACGTTGTGAATTTGTACACAGTTTGGTTATAGGACATAGCAGGCCTTATTAAAGTTGATTATCTGAAAAGAAATACTAGATGTTTAGCAATTATGTATTCCGATTTTTGCCACGTTGGACAGCCATATAATTATGATATTTACAGGAGGGCACTACTATCAATACTGGGTTGTTAGTTTTATCCCTTGACGTTTCAGAATCGTTGGACTATACTATTAGTATTAAGCTATATCAAATGTCTATAGTCCCATTCTGAATTCAGAGTTAAATGTTGTGACCTGAATCAATACTGCATTATCTCAACATTTTTATCATCTCTTTTATTCTCTTATCACAGGTTCCGACGTAGAAATAGTAGTGGGCGTGGTAGTTCGCGGCGGAGGCGGACTGGGCATATCCCTTGAAGGCACTGTAGACGTAGAGGGAGGGAGGGAGGTCAGGCCGCACCACTACGTACGGTCGGTCCTACCAGAGGGCCCGGTAGGGCGCGCGGGCGTCCATCGCCCGGGAGACGAACTGCTTGGTGAGTGCTTTACTGTGTTTCTAGTTTAGGCTGGTTTTAGTGTCACGCGGACTGTCAGTGCGGATCGCTCCGCACAGCTGATTTGTATGAACTGCTAAGGAGCGGAGCGGTTCCTCCGGACCGCATTACTCTCAAACGCTCCCTAGAAGTTCATACAGATTGGCCGTGCGGAGCGGGTCCGCACCGGACGGTCCGCATGACACTAAAACCAGCCTTATGCCTGCGGCTGTCTGCTTAGATTTCGATAAAAACGTAGAGCCAATAAATAAGTTTTGTGCTATTGTATAACATAGTCGGCTCTTGTTCATCAAAATTAGTCCATTGGGTCTAGACAAGTGCACATTATAATCGCAAACCAGTCGAAAAGTGGTCGAAAGGCCTTTTTTTATTCGATTTTCGATTCGATCAAATCAAATCAAAAATATTTTATTCAATTTAGCCCACTAGTGGCACTTATGAATGTGCAAAAAGTGCATCTTGTCTAGGAAGAAGTTTAAAATGGATGGGTGATCCTCAAATGTTCCATTTCTAAGAAGAAATCTATTTTCTTCCTTTAATTTGCTCTAAGCAACAAACTTTATTTACCCACGCAATGGATTACACTGATGTGGTAAGATTGCGATTCAGGAATCTGCAAGTTCGAATCCTTTGATTTTAGATCAATGTTTAATTCTTTCGCGGCTCATCTGTTCTTTATCGAAATTCGTGCCGAAGCTAGAAATTTATTAAAACCGCAATATAACATTCATATGTATGTATCCATAGAGGTGAACGGCCACCGGCTCCTAGGCATGAACCACCTGGAAGTGGTATCGATCCTGAAGGAACTCTCGAGCGAAGTGTGTATGGTCTGCGCGCGGCCCCGTCCCCAGCCTGCGTTGGATCTAGCGCCGCCATCTACCACGCTTGTTAAGGTACATAGTAGTATTGTTTATGACTTGGGACTAAATAAACATTTTTTCTTTCTTTCTTTCAAAATGCAAGGAAAACGAATTTAATTTAAGAGTTGATTAATGCCTATAATTGATGTATAGTCACATGCAAAACTTATACATCTTCATTGTAACTTAAGTCTTATTACAGCAGAAAAAATTACGTACTACGAGCACTTATTGAATTTTAACTAATCAAACACATGAACGCTTGAATGTGTACAATATAAAACATGTAAAAAAAAGTACTGTTTGACACAATGACGAAATGCCTGGATAAAATTGTACAACATAATTATATTTGCATAATAAGCCTGTACATATTTTTTTCCTTTTATTAGTGACATGCATGACACATTGTAATTTTTGAATAGTAAAAGTAATAAAAAAATACTGTACACAACGTGAAACGACTCCTTGTATTCAAGCCGCAGAATGAGATAACCGATCTGAGACTGTCAATTTCACTTTTATAGTATTCTTTCATTGAAATTAGTGTTTGATTATCATGAAAATGAGTCTTACAATGTAGTGTTTGTTACAGGCGAAGTCTGATGGAAGCCTCGCAGGCGCCGGCGCAGAGGAAGGTGGAGCTCTATCGGCTGGAGGCAAGGTGCGCTCGCGCAGCCTAGAGCCGCTCACCGGGCTTGCCATGTGGTCATCTGAACCGCAGATCATAGGTACGCGACTTTATTGTAAGGTATTACGGTTGCTTTTATAATCAAACAAGCTTGGAAGCCAGTAAGGCGGCGCTGACAGATGGCGGTAAGGTGCGCTACCTCAGTCTTGAGCCGCTCAACGAACTCGCCATGTGGTCCTTCGAGTCGCAGATTATAAGCACGGGACCTTATTGCGAGGTGTTTTGACTAGAACAAACTTGGGCGCGAACAAAAGCGACGGGTTGACAGTCGGTGTCAAGGTGGGTTCGCGTAGCCTCTGCCGGTCACTAGGTTCTCTCTCTATCTATCCTTTTGCTATAAAACAAGTTTAGGTGCGTATGAGACGGCGCGCTGGCGGTAGACTGAAAGATGCGCTCGCGCAGCAGGTACTCAATTGACTTGGGAAATTATTCTCTCTATTGAACAAAATCACAATATCATTATCACCTTTTGAAAGGAAAGACAATACTATGCTTGTATAAATTAACTTATATCCAATTTTTTGTTACCCAGAGCTGGTGAAGGGCGAGCGCGGGCTCGGGTTCTCGATCCTGGACTACCAGGACCCGCTGCGGCCGGCGCACACGCTGGTGGTGATCCGCTCGCTGGTGCCGGGCGGCGTGGCGCAGCAGGACGGCCGCCTCATACCCGGCGACCGGCTGCTCTTCGTCAACGACCAGGTACCTTATGTCAGAGCTGGTGACAGGCGAGCCGGGCTAGGTTCTCGATCCTGGACTACCAGGACCCGCTGCGGCCGGCGCACCGCCTGCTCTTCGTCAACGACCAGGTACCTTATGTCAGAGCTGGTGACAGGCGAGCCGGGCTCGGGTTCTCGATCCTGGACTACCAGGACCCGCTGCGGCCGGCGCACCGCCTGCTCTTCGTCAACGACGAGGTTCTTATACTGTGTATACCAGGGGTGGCCAAACTTTTGACCTGTAAGGTCTATTTATGCTCGAAAATATTTCTTGCGATCGACTGTAAGGTACTGTTTAGAAGATTGAAATAAAACGTTTTTCATTTTCAATCATTCTGTTCTGTACATAAAACTCTCGCAGGCTACCAAAATCGTCTTCGCGCCGCGACCGCGGTCGACCTCTTGGCCATCATTGCTGTACATGCTAAAACTTGCGCAGGTGTAAGTAGCGGGTACGCGTAACGGACGTCGTGACGTGAAAACTCGTCTAATGCGCTCGCGCCAATCTGCGCTGTTCATACTATTTTTCGATAAAGACGCACGAGCATGCGCTTGCGCGAATTTTAGCCTAGGCCCTTACTTGTAATAAGAAGACCAACGTTTACAATATTTATTAATAGTCCCGTTAACCCCTCGTGATAAGCTAAATATGCTTGTGTTACGAGTGGGCTCACCACAATAGTCGAGCGGCGATGGGATTCGAGTGGTTTAATAATGTGGTCGTATTTCCACTATATTTGAATGAATCTGAACACTGTTTACACGCAACGCGTCCACTCTCCGGCGATTCGAATACGTCCCAAACTAAAGATTTTCTTTTAGGACCCGACATTTTTCAAAAACAGAACATAAAACACAAAAATCTACAACAATAACCGGCAGTTTCTGTCGGTTCCATAATCCATACAGTTTACGAACTCGAGTCAGAGAGAATTCAACTCGAGTGGGCTCGAGTTACGCCCAACTCGAGTTAACTCGAGTTAGGTACTCGAGTTGACCATCACTAATTCGAACTCGCGTTCCTCGAATTTCGATTACATTGGTCTATGTATTTTATGAATACTTATCAGTTATTGTATCAAGAGATCAGACCTAATTAAAAGATATGCTCGATTTAAATCAGCTGCTTGCTCAATAAAACTGTTTAAACTACGTCATGACATATTAAACATTAAAGCTAAGTTCAAATGTACGCTTGTCGTAAAAAATTATGAACTTTGGCACAAGACAATCTGAACTTAGCCTTAACCCTGCCACTACGCATGAAACTATTTTTTAAGTTTACAAGATTTCTGATGTATGACAATAGCGCCATTCAGAGGTTATGATCATTTCAGTACTATGTGAATAATAGAGAAGGTGTAAACCGATTTGTGGAGCCATTTTCTATCTTTGCTGGTTTACAGTTTCACGTATCTTTTTGCCTTTAATATCGTTTGCAACCTTGTAACTTATGTTCTAATATTCTTAAGTGCCATAACATCATGTGCCGAAATCCTCATTAGATTTAAGAAAACCGCTGTATGTATACTGTCCACTAACCGCTCTCATTTGCGTTTGGTAGTGATCTATGTTCAGCAACAGCTTTTAATATTGTTACATCAAATCAAACATCTCATTCACCCACAGAACCTCGAAGACGCGAGCCTTGAACAAGCAGTAGCAGCGTTGAAGGGTGCTCCGCGCGGTGTGGTCCGCATCGGCGTGGCCAAGCCGCTCCCGCTGGCTGACGCGCCGCCGCCGCTGCCCTCAACCGCGCCGCCCGCGCCCTTGCAAGCCCCGCCCACTCCTTAAGACGTACGTCCAACCTCAGGTAGGGTTGCCAACTATACTCACGCCCGTATTCACAAATGATGCTGCTTAAGAGAAGCAGCACATCGAACGCACAGCGTTGAATAGAGCTCTGTGATTAGTTCGTGTGTCACTCTGTGCGTCTACGCGCACTGTGAGATCTCATAGTAATGTTTGTGAATACGGGCGTTATACTTTTACAACAATGAACTATACATAAAATCTGTGGAACCCACCCTTAAAATTGGCAACCCTGAATATATTATAGCAGGGTTTCTTAACCTCTAATACAGCGTTGCATGAAGACAAATACGAGAATACAGTGTTTTAGACGTTTCATAGATGCAGATGTATGTCCCCTCTATGACTAATGACTTGAGGTTAAAAATCCTACGTTATAATTTTCAAACTACTTGCAACTTGTGTCTCAAACAAGTTGAATATACGAGAAACATCGTCTCGTGTTTGCTTTTGGAGTTAGGACCTTGAAAGCATATTCCGCGTCTTGCGTGACGTTACAGAATTATGTTTTTTTAGTGCATTCGAGACGACACTTAACTGTTTTATGCTAAAAGTTTAGACACGCTACTTGCAATCTTTTTTATTTATTCTACTTATAATAGAAACATTTTCTATAAATTATTGTTAATCAAAGAAAAACCGCCTGAAGGACATTGAGTTTTATTAACGGATCGATCAATTTATGAAATAAACTTTAGTGAAACGACGTGTTAGAAAACCCCTGACAAAAACTTTTTGTCTTAAGACAATAACTAAAAGCGTTACCACACAATAATTTAAAGTATTTCCAATCTGTATTATGAACTTGGTAAAAATAAACGAAATAATGTAGAATATAATATTAAAATTAAAGGTCAATCATCCCTATCTTATCAATGCATTTCTCAGTTGTTAAACTCATAATCTATTCTTTGAAATGCAATTTATTATTAATAATTTATCGTTTTGACATGCACTGATGCACTCACTGATCCCTTTTCCAAAACGGGCTTATTAGTTTTATTAGCATAGCATTATATTTCATGTTTACTCGTGTAGGTTACACTCTTTTTTGTCTTTGTATCTGAATGAATATGAAATAATGGGTCACCTAGACCAAACTATCCTTATAAACTCTTAATTTAAGTATATAATTTCCTTTATTGAAAGAAATCATTCCAATCATAGTTATGTAATAAGAAAATGATTTTATATTGTACTTACTTAAAACATTCGTGAAATATGGTTTAAATATTTTATGGGTAAAAGCGTCATGTACTTACTCAAACATCAGTATCATGTTTAATATTTGACTTTGTTCTTTTGACATTTATTAGAATTGTATCTTAGACTTAGGTTAGCAAAATGGAATTTATAAATAATGGAATTTACTGCCAGGTACTTATTCTTATATTTTATGCATTATCTTTTCAAAGTATTATCTAAATTTAAATATAAATCGATTTATATTATTGTTAGTTGTTAGATATCCATTCCGATTGAATTTACTATTATTAAGATTTTATCGTAATAGTTAAATAAATTTATATTATTAACGTGGTGTTTTAATAATACAACTTTTTTTAGAAACAGTATATTTTTCGTAACAAAAATATATCCTATGTACACCTCTACGCAATCACAATAAGTCCCTATTTGAGCAATATATTAACAGAATAATTTATTAATGGACGCCCTTTCCCTACTTACTAAACTTAATCCTATAGTTATTCCTTGTAAAAGTCTTCTATTATGTCTTTGTACTTCTCGTAGACTACGTTCCTCTTTACTTTTAGCGTGGGCCCTGAAAAAACAAAGTTAAATATTATTATTACGTTACTTAAAGTAGTTATTCTAGTTGGCAACAGCAAGGTGTTAAAATGAATTGTTTGTTGGGTTTTTTATTTGTGGTTTGTGACGCAAATCACAGCGTAAATGCGTCATACCGATGGGCAACGAAGATAGGCTTGTCATCAGACTTGCAAGTTTGGAAATGCTTATTACGCGAATTTTCCTCCTTACCTAATTCTCCCGAAGGCATTGAGAAGTCTGCGGGGAGGATGGTGAACTTCTGTATTTTTTGCGCGTTAGAGATAGCCTTCTTGTTGGCGCGGGCTAAGCCTTCTTCTATGGCTTTGTGTACCTGAAAATTGAATAAAATAATTATGAGTAATCATGCTATCTATTACTGATAGTAATCGTTCGATAATGATGAATTAAAATTTGGCGAAATCGTGCGTCATTGCGATTTCTAAAATTGCAAATTAATACGTAAGTGTAAGTAATCAATCAACACTATCACGCAAGTGTATTACAACTTAGTGATTAAATAAACTGATTGGTTTCAATAAGTGGTAAGTTGGGAATTTATTTTAATAATATCTGAACGTTATCAGACCGTTGTCATTGAATGCAGTAGGTTATTTATACTCTAACTAAAGTGATTAAAGACAGTTGACAACAGGCAGGCTACTAATTTGGCACACAGACGATTCATTTATTATGTAAAATGCATTATGTGATTACCATCTTATGATTAACTATTCGTTAATCTTAAAATGTTAAATAATATTATTATTAATAATAATTCATCAATTTATTTTACACAATTTATTTAATACGTAAGTATTAAAGTTCATAAGATAGATAGTATGTTTACCAGTTAGCGGTCATACAATGTCAAACGTAATAGCTGTTGTTACGGGTAATTAAATGAACTATTTTTTGAGTAATGATGATGTTAACCATCATCAAACAAACCGTTTGGCTAAAAAAATCTGCCTATGTATTTTTTCCTTCATAACTACATTTCAATTATGTCTATATTTTTCAAGGTCAGGCAGTAATACTAGACAAGGGAGATAAAATGCCGGATATTCAATAAAGTGTCACCAAATGGTGGTCAGATAATAGGCCCGTTCATATGAAATGATACTGAAAACTGGGTTCAAATTCAATAATTAACTCAACCAATCCAATGATCTTTGGACAATATCTTTACGAATAGCCTGTTGAGATTGCCTGTATCGTACCATTCGGGCAATTTATTTAGCGATAACCTATTTTTATACTTACAGCGGGGTCTTTGGTTTTCGATATTTGGCTAAGAGTTGTAGCGGTGCTGCCGAGGCTCTGTACCCATTTCAAGGTCTCGGTTTCTAAAGCATCGAGCGCTGCTCCCGTCTCGGGGTCCACTTTAGTCTGAAACAATATAATTATTCAATTCGGGACGGGAATAAGCGGCGTTCAAACGTATTGTAAAGAGTGAAGTTCAAGACCAGGGTCACATCAGCTGGCAAGCGTAAAGGTCGCTTTAGCAGGTTGAATAGTCGACATGTTGAAGCAAGCATAATTATGTGTTGGTTGGTTGGTGTTATTTCATCACGTATGATTTTAATAGGTTATTGACACCGTTTACGAATTATTCTAAGATAAAGTTACGTAATCTTAATTCTTTATAACACTTCTTTTCTAGCACTCTTTTTCTTTTCCATTTAATCTTGAGATCATTGACTGTCGAATTAACTGTAAACTTAGATTTTTAGATTAGGTATTTGCGATAAATAAAAGTCAATGAGTAAGCGTACTGTGACATCATACATTCCGAATATGTCTATGAGAGAGCCGTGTTTTGAATACGAATGGGCCATATCAGTTTTTCGAGTGGCAAAGAAAAGAAGTAACCAACACGTTTTTTTTTTACTAAAACGTCATAAGATCATAATTTTTTCTTGACTTTCGTACTATTATTATGCCGGGTACAGATCTGCGAAATGTAACAGGCAATGAAAGGATTTGCCGTCCACATTGTCACAATGTATCATGCAATGTAACAGAATTCCCATAGTGTGGACGTCACGAACCGTGCTCACTACGCGCACGAACAGATGTTACATTGCATGCTACATTTCGCAAATCTGTACCCGCCATTATACACCTTAATATCAGTACCTTTAGGGTGATGAACTTGCGTTTGTTATTCCGTACATAGGCCCTTACTAGGGCACTTATGCCTGTTTTCACCACCAAACCTTAATTTTTAGGTGACGCCTATGGTAACACATAAGAATTTTGATTTTATAAGGGTCACTTAAAAATTAGGGATTGATGGTGAAAACGGGTATTATACACCTTAATATTAGTACCTTTAGGGTGATGAGCATGGACAGGAATTTGCGCTTGTCTCCGATGAGCACGGCGTAGCCCACCTGCCTTAGCTCGGCCTGCACGACCTGCTCGATCGGCACGGGAGCCACGTTCTCTCCTCCCGCGGTGATCAGCAGTTCCTGTGGGAGTTTATTAATATTACCNCCCACTCATCGTAGCTAAAATCGTTTCATAGAAATACAACAGCACGTCTCGGAAATAGAGGAATAGAAAAGAAGAACGCTTTGAAATTATTTGTCTGCGGATTTTCGGCAACTAAAATGTTTAACACGATGATATTTTATCATTGAATTGGGCAGCTTCTCAATATTTTGTTAGTAAATTTTTAGTTAGTCTAGCCTAAATATTACTCCTTACACGCGTATTTATAAATGATGCATAAGTGAAGCAGCAAATCGAACCCACAGCGTTGAATAGAGATATGTGATTGGTTCGTTTGTCACCCTGTGCGTCCACGCGCAGTTAGAGACCTTTTAGTAATGTTTGTAAATATGGCGTTAGACCTTGAGCGCTTACTTTAGATTTGTGGATAGTTACTTAGGCTGAAGTAACATTACAAAAATGCTTACCTTTATTCTTCCAGTAATGTACAACAGGTTGTGTTCGTCAACTCGTCCGAGATCGCCCGAGTGAATCCACCCGTCACTGTCGATCGCGGATATAGTTTTCTCCTCGTCATTGAGATAGCCCATCATGAGATGGCGACCTCTCATGCAAATCTCACCGGGTCCGTTTGGACTCACGGAACCGTCGAATTTTGTTTCTGTACCGTCTAACAATTCGCCGACGGAGTCGATTTTCATTCTGGAAAAGCGAAGAAAAATATATTTATTTTCTCGTGGTATAGATATTCCACATACTTTGAGTGAAATGTGTTCTCTTGATAACATCTAGTAATGATTCTTCAGCTACAGTTACTCGTGACCTACATAGGTTGTTATTTGATAGCATAATTAAAACATGTTGCTTGCTCAGAACAATGTTATGTAATTTTGGGATGTTCTACTAGTTCTTATAACGATTGGTTTCTTTCCTAATAAAAATAAAACTTACTTTGGGTAAATGCTAAGAGCATGGGCTCCAGCCATCTCGCTCATGCCGAAAGCTTCCACGATGGGCATGTCGAGGGAGGTGAAGAAAGACTTGATTTCTGGTGCCAGGGGCGCAGCAGACGACACGAAGGTCGTGCACTGATCCAGCCCTAGGGCTTCGTGGGCCTTGCTCAGGATCAGGGACTTGGCTAGCCTGTATCCAATCGACGAGCCTTCGTACCTAAAAGCGGTCCAAAATTAAGGCGCTAGTTCAGAGTTGGTACACAGCAAGAGTTATGTTATAAATAGTTCGTGACACCCAAAGTAGCCAAAAAGTTCGCAACACATCTTTGTTACAATTATGGAATAAGATGTTATCAACACTTTGGGTGTCACAAACTATTTGACGCTGACTGTACCTAATGTAGTTGGAAAAAAATCAAATTTTCGGTATTTCCCTTGCCTGATTAGCAAGTTGATTGTTGTATTCATTTACAATATTAGTTTCACTGTTAACTTTTATGTAGGTACTTAATAAAATTATGGAGTTTACTATACAGTGTGAGTCACGTTAAAGTGTACATATGAAAATAGATAAAACTAGACCTATTTTTATCGACAAAAAAGAGGTCAAAATTTTTTTGAGATTTTTTTTTAATTTTTTATCGAATTTTTTTCCTTCCAATTACTTATTGTAAAGAAAACGTAATAACTTTTAAACTAAGAGGTATATCCTGATAAAATAAAAACAGTAATAATGCTAAATAACAGGCAATACTGAAAAAATGCATAAAATACCCAGAAAATGCCAACAAATAATAAAAAATGAGACTTTTTGAAAAAAATCTGCTTAAAAATTCGTATTTTTTTGGTTATTTGATAAATTTCTCAAAAAAATGCCCCTATAATAGGTGTTTTTTATTACTTTGTATTATTTTCTATCGTATTATCTTTGTAAAACCAAAAATCGCATGACTCTGTCCCTATCATAACATTTGCTATGATCGTTTGAACAAAGGCCTGCCACAACATTATTCTCCGCTACAGGTAGAGACAATTTTAATTTTAACTAAAATGCTTATTTTACTTCGAAATCTTTTGTTTTTATTTGAAATCTAACTTGTCTTTATCAAAATTACAAATCTAGAGCCATTTTCAGTTTCGTTGTTAANGCGTCCAGCGCCTTCCTGCTACCTTTATGATGTCATCGGTCCACCTTGTAGGTGGACGTCACACGCTGCGTTTTCTGGTACGCGACCACCACTCCAGAACCTTGCTGCCCCATTGGCCGTCAGTTCTGCGTAATATGTACCCTGTCCATAGCCACTTCAGCTTGCTAATCCGTCGGGCTATGTCAGCGACTTTAGTTCGTTTACGGATCTCCTTATTTCTGATTCGATCTCGTAAAGAAACACCAAGCATAGCCCCCTCCATAGCACGCTGTGTATCTTTGAGCTACTAATGATGACAACCACAAGAAATTATAATGTTTCTGTTATCAACAGGCTATGTATGCGAAAAGGAAGAGCTATCGGGCATATTCGTGAAGTCAGTGACAGCGGGCAGCGCGGCCGCCCTCAGCGGGAAAGTGCGGGTCAATGACCGCATCGTGGCTGTCGACGGAGTGTCCCTCGCTGGCAAGTCCAACCAGCGCGCTGTGGACGCGCTCAAACAGAGCGGGAATGTGGTCACGCTGGAGTTGGAAAGGTTAGTTGCTGTCTATGACAGGATGTCCACACATCACTACCGTTCGATCATTCGGTTCGCGTGCGCGTTTACTCTTCCATTCACTGTATCCCCCTCTCGCCTATCAGCCACCGAACCGGCTTGACGTGCCGGCCGGCACGTTAACTCATTCCAATTTCAATGTAATATTTATTGTCTAAAGTACAACAAATTCTCAAAACTCAAGAATGTATTTCATTAATTAGTTCTGCGTGAACAGTTGCTATTAGATATAACTGTCTGTTATCTCGATAAGAATAAGAGCACAGCAGACATGCTACTTTTAGCATCGGCGATTGGCATTTAGCGGCAGTATTGATCAACAATATGCAACATCGCCATTTCGAGACTTCATGCGTTGGGAAGCGATATCGGACTCGCGCGTTTTAGCAACAGCAGTGGCTGTATCGAGCTTCTAAAAAGCAGCTAAATCGCCGATAGCCAATGCTAAAAGTAGCATGTGTGCTGTGGCTATAAAATAAAACTGTCAAGTCAATGATCAATCAGGCGTGGATTCGCAGTAGTGAGCACGAAGGGCATCTTCACAACTTCGTTAGACGTTACACTTTCATGGTATCATGGTCTATTATAATAATAATTATGAGAGTTACTCAGCCACAGGACGTCCACTGCCTTCCAGCGCCTTCCTGCTTGCTACCTTTATGATGTCGGTCCACCTTGTGGGTGGATGTCCCACGCTGCGTTTTCCGGTGCGCGTCCTCCACTTTAGAATCTTTCTGCCCCATCGGCCGTCAGTTCTGCGTACTATGTGCCCTGCCCATTGGTCAGGTGCCCAGGTGGACCGACGAAAGTCATAAGTCAAAATTTCTTTATTTGTTTAGACTAATAAATAGTTCTTACAAATCGTCATTTTGCTCTTAAGGAGCCTCTACATGTCTCATAATCTTTTTACCCTACCAGTGCTTCGAGACCAACATTTGGCAAGTGCTGAGAAGAAGCGCCGCAACAAACTCAGTCACCACTGTCTGCCGGTTAATATAAATAANACTTGTCTTTATCAAAATTACAAATCTAGAGCCATTTTCAGTTTCGTTGTTAATAAAGCGTTGATTGGCGCGCCCGAAGAGGCTTAGTTCAAACAATCATTGCAAATGTTGTGATAGGGATAGAGACATGCGATTTTTGGTTTTACGAAGGTAATACGATAGATAATAATACAAAGTAATAAAAACCACCGGTTATAGGGGCATTTTTTGGAGAAATTTATCAAATAACCAAAAAAACACGAATTTTTAAGCAGATTTTTTTCAAAAAGTATATTTTTTTATTATTTTTTGGCCTTTTTTGTGTATTTTATGTATTTTTTTAGTATCGCCTGTTATTTAGCATTATTACTCTTTTTATTTTATCAGGATATACCGCTTAGTTTAAAAGTTATTACGTTGTCTCTACAATAAGTAATTGAAAGAAAAAAAATTCTATAAAAAATTAAAAAAAAAATTCAAAAATTTTTTGACCTCTTTTTTGTCGATAAAAATAGGTCTAGTTTCATCTATTTTCATATGTACACTTTAACGTGACTCACACTGTATAATGCAACACAATAACAAGTGTTTAGTACAAGTTTCTAGCAAAATAATCTAATTGAAAAAACATGATTATGTGAGTATTTAATGTGACATAATGATTTATTAGAAATCACACAAATCCGGTTTGAGTCATAGCTTTATTAATCTTATGATAAATTAATTGCATTTTGTGAAAAAAATGTCACTTTGGGGTAGATTAGTTTTCGTTATCTTGTTATCTAAGGATTATTTGGCTGGCTGTGAGTGTATAGGATCTACTAGGTATCTACAATATCTACACGATTAAAGGCTGTCAACCTTCTCTGCTGGAAGTCACACGCACGTACCAATAGTCTATCATTTCGCTCGTTGTGAAGTCTATAGGGAGACCCGCCATTTTGCTTGACAAAGAACTGGCAAAACATAATACACTTTGAATATGTACACATTCAATATTCCGTACGTAATCTTGCTAATTTTAACGTTGCTAATAAATCATGTTTCACTGAAACCTACAACTAAGTTGCGTCTAATCGCAATGGGATTCCGATGTTCTATTTTAACGATGAGGGAAAAACCAATTGCTGCCGTTTGATAACATTCTGATGGAATATAGAAGGCATAAAATATCAAGGATTTAGATTACTTGCAATAATCCCAGAAAACACAGAATTCGTTTACAATATTAAATTATGGGATTGTCTTTTGCATTAACAGATTAAATGATAATGCTGCTAATGCTTTTGTGTATTAGTGCATTTTGTTTTGGCATAGCTAAGCCAGTTTTACAGGTTTTTCGACACAAGCCAACCTTTTTCTGTCCTAAACTTTTGCAAATATCGAGGTTTTAATAAAACAAAACTTTACCCGTTTATTCTGGCGAGGTGGTAGGTCAGGGCTTTGTCCTTCGCCCACATGGCGAGCGAGCGAGTGACGGCGCCCCGAGACGCGCCCACTGCCACTATTTTTTCATACATCTTCTCATACACTCTTGGTACTGCAAGGAATCTGTAGAAGTACGTTACAATTAATTCATACATCACCACCACTAACGATATAATTTAGAAAAAAATGATACTACTTACAGATATAAAAAATCACGGGTAAATTATTATCGCGCATCTCTCGCAAAATTAGTAGCATTAAATTAAGAGAAAATTTGACTAACAGTTTTAATAGATTTATTTGTGCAAACGTTACAAACTTTTAAAACAATATTTCAACCGAGTTTTCAAATAGTAGAGATACTCTAATAAGCTAAGTGAATATACAAACCTCGTTGGTCGCACATCTTTTAAGGTTTCCACGAGAGAGCCCTTGAGTGCGTCGGGCTGTGCAAAGTACACTGAGATTCCTTTGGTCATTGTGGTGTAAATGTCCACAACCTGTAAAAACAAATAATTTTATTGCCTACTCGTAATAATAATGACATTAATTTGTACGAAAATAATTTTGTTTAATGTTCGTTATTTAATGTATTTTGTAGAGGCAACGTAATGTAGACTCAACTCATCCCGCGAGATTAGCTGACTAAAGAGTCCTATTTTTTCCACTACTGCGATTCCTCTGTATGGATGGAGCCAGGGTCATCAATAATACGAGTAGGACATAGGTAATGCATAAAAAACTGACTTCAAGGTACAGTAACAGTCACAAAAAGATGACGTTTCAGTCATAAAAAGAGTACGTACTTAAGTCAATAAGGCCTTTTATTGTTTGCAAGTCGTAATTTGTATTGGCACGGACTATAACTCTTTGTTTGCTGCCACGGAGGAGTAAATATTCATAAATTTCCACACAAACAAAACAACTTTACATATTTCAGTAAAATCTTGCGTTCACAGGTTAAGAATAATAAATGTAAAGTAAATGTTGACGCTGCATACTTAAATTTATGGAATCTACGTGATTTTGGCATAGGTAGGTACATTATACAATACTTACAATAAATTTATCTACGTTGGAGCTAATTCCTATCTAACTATCAGTAAATAAATATTAATTTGAATATCTCTGTCAAATGTTAAGTTAGGCACCTATTCACTTAGATAGATTTACGTTTATATTTTATGAAAATGGTCCTTCGTCCCTTTATCATTTTTTTCCATACTGTGCTTTTAACACACGCTGTATGTGTATAATATTTACCTGTGCAGCAACGTGACTGAGAGGCAAGAAGGAGACGAGTCTCTCCGAGTCGGGGCACTGGATGTTGCCCACCCTTTCTGAGATGGAGTGGGCATCCCACGTCAGGTTGTCGTGGGACAGCATCACGGCTTTTGGAGGCCCGACTGTACCTGACTGAAAATTATCATGAACATTAAAAAACAAAAATAAACAATCATTAACCTTATAAGCAAAGCTTGTACTTTGGGTGCTACGACAACGAATATAAACAAACATAGGTACTTTGTAAATACATACATATTATTAGATAGAAAACACATAGACAATGACAACAAAATGTTTTTCGTGGGTTCCGGGAGTAATGAGCTAATGTCGTTTTTCTTTGTCTAGTATAAATTACAGTATAATGTTTGGCAATTGAATTTTTGACACCCTATATTTATTTATTTATTTTATTTATTTATTTACACTTTTGCACATGCATATGTACAGTGGCGGAGTTAATGCCAGGTGGCATTATCTGCCAGTCAACCACAGGTCGAGTAGAGAGACTAAGGCGGTGTAATAAATATGACGTTTAATTAATATACTATATTCCTAGTATTGAACTATGTATTAGTAAGTTAAATGTTGACTTGGATAGCCGTTAGCATTAAGAGTCTGGTGGTCCGGCCCGTACCTACGTCCAGACTACGAAAACCCGTAGTAGTAAAAATTTTCGTAGTAAACTTTCGTATACCCGAAGTCTAAGTTTTCCATTTTTTTCCAGGAATATTACTTATTTTTATAACACAAATACTAAGTTAAATACTTGTGTTTACGAATGGACTAACCACCATAGTCGAGCGGCGGCGGAGTTCGAACCCGCGTTCCTCAGATCTCGAGTCGGCCTGCGTGACCCCTTCACTGTTCAGCAATCGTGGCTTCACATAATAATATTATCACTTGTGTTTATGTTATAACTTATAATATTTATAGTTTATTACTTTGTGTTTTAACTTCTGAAATTATCTAAGGTGTACAGAACAGGGTTCGTCGGATGTATTGTTTTGTCATGTAATATTAATTTTTATTGTGTATTTTAAGTTTTAAGCAATGTTAAAGTACCTACACAATAAGAAGCAACGGAAAGAAAAATACTCAAATATTTTGCGTTTGCATGAATAAAGTACCTACAGCAAAAAATCTAAACGCTTATTGCTACGCTCATTATTATTATAATGACATTATACGTTGATATTATGGCGCACCTAATCATTTCCTGAAACAATTTTGTTTCAGCTTACATATTACAGAGTACCTATAGTGTATGAATGAAATACATACGATATTAGCAAAAAAAAAAAAATAAAATGCAATTATTCTTAGTTACGGAGTTAAGCGTTTTGTTTTCGTGTCGAATATAAAATGCTTAATTTATTGCTATGCATTAGCAAATCCGAAGTCCTATTTTCTGTCTATGACTTCAGGCTAAAATTAATCTATGCAGAAATAGCGTGCTGAAACTGAATCTTACCGTGTACACGAGCGTGCAGCACTCATTGACGGCCATGCTTTTCAGCGTGTTTTCGAGCTGCACGTCCGATTCATTGGCTCCCATTTCCATAAGCTGGTCCCACTGCAAACAAAATTATGGTCTTTATAAACATCCATAATTCCATCAGTCATCCTAAGATTTAAAGATACTGACAACGCCACTCTTGCTGCGGAGTTTTGGACACTGTAGGTTTGTTGTCGACATGACAAGAAGAAGAAGAAGTCATCCTAAGCTCTTACGAGAGGCGTAGAGTGGTAAATGATCAATAGGTAACAGGACGGTTCTTTGCTTAATTTCGTTTCGCTTTTTAGCAAAAGCTAAATTTTTAAACTATAGAGTGTTGAACTATTTATTGAGGTAAATATTAATCGTAAATTAGTGCCCATTTTATGACCCCCACTAAAGATATCAAAATGATTATGATATCATTATTTATACCTAGTATGTATTTGTGAAAATTTACATGTGATTAAAATTTCAGAATGTGACTGCTTTATTATATTGGATTAAATTACATCGAACTATTTACGACTTGTGGATTATTTGACTAGATTATAAACGGAGATCAATAAATCAGCGATAACAATGTCTTGAAGAGGCCAGTACCTCTAGTAGGAAAAACTTTCGAGTTCGTTTCGTTGCGTATTCAAAGTGTCATCGAAAAATTTTGTATGAAAAATTAAACAGCGCCCCCTATATTATAGCCGCCCTAGGGGGCGCTGTTTAATTTTTCATACAAAATTTTTCGATGACACTTTGAATACGCAACGAAACGAACTCGAAAGTTTTTCGTACTAGAGGTACTNAAGAGGCCAGATAAGCAAAATTATTTCTATGCAGAGCGTATTTGTTTACATTCGTATACTTCAACACGGAGTTAGCTTTTGCTTGGCACATGGTGGCGTAAAGCCAAGTTTTGGCATGAATCTTTGTTTACAAACATATACCTGGGTTTCCACCTAATCTAAACACGTCGAGTGAGTGAGACAGCATGATCAATGACTAAACATTTCAGCTGGTGTTTTAGTTTTCATCGACATGGTTTTGAGATCATAGGAATTTCGCATAGGTCTACTTAGTAGTAGGTCTACCGAAGATCTTACTTATTATAAAATTGATCAATAGAAATATGTATATTCTTAAGATAAGTTAAAAAAAATATTAATAGGTCAAACCTGCCATAGTAACAGATTAGGTAGAGATGCTAAAGTACCTAACTCAGATAATTTCTTCCGTAACATATAATCGTAATAATTCCTAAGCTGATTTAGGTAATTTTCCTAACGGCCGGTTACCTTGAATGAATCGCTCATGATTACGATAGCCAAATCTGCAGCGCTTAATATTATCACCATTATGATGNCAGATAATATAATACTAGTAATCACCATTATGATGAATGAATGGATTTTATACTCTGGATGACCTTTTAGATAGAAACAATTTTATAATTTCAGTAGGTACTTATAATAAAGAATTCAAATCTAATGTATAAACAACATGTTTCATGACCTTGTATAAATAATTGTTTATTACGACTAATGCCCATTTACTACCAAATCAAATCTATCTACATACCTAATACCAACCGCGAAAGGAAAACTAACACTAGGTAACTGCTAAATCTAAACCTCGAAAATTATTAATGTGAATTAATTTAGTAACAGGGCAAGATTAAGATATGAAGAGAGTTTAACAGTCATCGACTTTTAAAAATAAATCAAGTGAGCTTTTTGTAACATTGAAAACTTTACTCCTGAAAACTTAAAGGTGCGGGAAATCCAACTTTATGCGAATGAAGTTAAGGAAGTCTGCTAGCTTTTAAGACGTATTTATTTACTCTTATTCGTTATCTATCTAGACACTTTTAGCTTTAAGTTATTTTAGCGTATTGTCTTTTCACATTTAATTGTGTGAACTCATGGTAGAAGAGACGGGTAGATCGTCGAGTAGTGGTGCTCTACCTTGACAACGTGACCGACTTCATAATTTGAATTGGTAAATAAAGTTTTATTTTAGCCTAGGTTAGCCAAGTTCTTTAGCTTGGATAGAAATAACCGCACTAGGTAAACCATCTGTTAAACCAGGCATTTATTATCGATCATTAGGCGACCTTGATCTAACTACTCGTTACAGTAATTAACTAATTAGCATACACTTGTATGCCTGAACAATGATGGAGCTAAGTATTAACACTCCTATTATGCAGGTAATGTAGAGTCATGCAATCAGTAGATGACTTGATAGACGTTTGCATAACCGAGTACTGGACTCTTTTAGATACCATATCAAAAGGACTTTTGCCATGGAATAAGCTATTATAAGTTACGTCGTATATAAAGTTCCTATTATGTAGTAACTTAAATTTTATTATAAAAGAGAGAACAAGAAGAAACCTATCAGACAGGATGCAACTCACGAAGGCGAGTAAGCTTTCTTGTGTATGTACGTGTAAATGCACTTAACGAAACTTTTGAAAAACAAACAGTAGCGAGCCACCACACATGTAAAGCTCACTCGCCATCGTGAGTGAGTTGCAACAAGTTTAAAGAAAATTAGCAAAATTAAATCGACTTACGCTGTACACTCCAGGAATAGAGGTATCTATTGGCGCCTCCCATTGCACAATGGCTTTCAGATGCGGCAGTCGACTGCGGATTTGCAGGATTTTATCCAGCTGTTTCTTGTCTTGAACCACGCAGATGTTGGCGCGCGAAGACATCAGGCAATGGAAGCAAGCCTCCGGGGAGTTGGTCGTGTAGATGCCGGCGGCAAAGCCACTGAACAAAAATAAAAATAAGTCCACTTTGTTGAATTAAAGTATACAGGGTGTGGTTTTGTAAAACAACGCACATCTCAGGGGTGGTAGCTAGTACACATGAAAGTAATTATAAGAAAAATATAAATACAATTTTAACTATTACTTTATTAGTAAAAAACCTTGTTCAAAAGTCTCCTAAAACTTTCGAGACGGCGGGGATGGAGCGTCTTGTTACCACCCGCACCACCCCCGCGTACCCCACTACACCACCGAGCACTCAGCACATGCGGCCGCCGCCCCGGGAGAGCGGGGGACTGACCGATAGCTCGCCCGCGTAATAATACCATTTTCCTGATTTCATGAACTTTTCCATGAAAATTTAAGGTATTTTTTTGGCATCAGTATCGTGTATACTACCACCCCTGAGATGGGCATTGTTTTACAAAACCACACCCTATATAATGCTCACATTATGCTCTGCTCTACACGCAAGTTGTATGCAAGTCACGGCTTAGATTACTACGTGAGAACTAATTAGGGTCTATTAGGTTTATTAATTGGCTAACGAACAGGTAGTGCACTTGTGACCGCGTAAAGAACTACTTATTAAGTAGGTACCTAAGTAAATAATGTGTGCAACTGTGCAGCCGCCCTATGTTGATATATTTTTTAATTATTAGGTAACAATAATTACCTAGGTAGTCGGTAGGTGCGTGTAAGTATACTGATTTTATGAAATTATGTTAACTGTTGGTTTAATTAAGTATTTTACACCTACCTAACGCGGCTATCCTAAAAAATTCAGCCTGTTCATTTGAGTTTTCAAAATCGCGTGACTAAACCTACTTTTTACACGTGCCGTGTTATTTGCAAATTAATAACACAGACGACTAGGTAAGTATACTGAACTAAGTCGATATTATCATTGCAGGTGTCTATCTTTTTAGTATTATTTTCCGATATTGCTGTACCTACTTCGTTTACAAAGAAAACATCTTGTAGGTATTAGGTAGGTAGGTATTATAAGTCGTAATAATACTTAGTCGCGTGAAAACTTTCGGTCAAAGTCCTTTTTTAACTAAGAACACGTGACGCTAAACATAATTATGTAGATTTTAAACCCGACATTCACCAGTTTGTTTGTTAAAATAGTAAATTCATAAATAAAATACTGTTGCTATTGTTGCGAATAAAATATATAATTGAAAAAGAACCTTTAAAACTCGTCATCGTGTTATCTTCACAACTCTTGAGCGTCACTTTTATGAAAAGTACCTACTACTGTACTTTTTAATTAATTTGACGTCCACTGCTGGACAAAGGCCTCCCCCAAGGATTTCCATAACGACCGGTCCTGCGCTCCCCGCATCCAGGTTCTTCCCGCGAACTTCACCAGATCGTCGGTCCACCTAGTGGGAGGCTTGCCCATGCTACGTCTCGGCCCGTGATCGCCATTCGAGAACCATGAATACCATGGATCAAGAAGGTTAATCGTGGTCAGGAGCAGGGCAAGTTTGCTATAGGTAAAACTATTTTAATAGTGACTGAGTTTCTTGCGCTGCTCAGCACTGGCCCATTTATTGTCCCGAAGCAGTGGTAGAGTTAATATTGGGACGTGTAAAAGTGCTTTTTAAAAACCAGCATTGTTGTGTTCCGACAGTTAGAGGTAAGATAGCCAGTTCCTCCGTGCTTGAGGATTCCGGGTGAAGCTCGCTTCCACCTTCGGCCTGATCATCACTTACCATCAGGTGAGATACAGGCCAAGAGCTTCCTCGTTGTGAATAAAAAAAAAAAAACCTATTTGCAAAAATAAATGAGTTTTAAGTTAAGTATTTGTAAAGCTTTCTTAAAGTTTGAAATTCTGACAACTCTACCTACAAAACTTATACGCCACGCCCAGTTTTAGCTTATCTGTAAAATAATTCACAATAACTTATAACTCACGTGATAGTAAAACTAAACCATTCTCAAAGATAATACAAACCTTAGGCTTATGCAGCAGGTTTATCAACAGATAAAAATTACAAAAATAGTAATTTTATCAAATTGATTAGACGAATCTTTACCTAACATCATTCATGTACTTATGATTAGGACTAACATTTTAATCACGCGTAAATTATCTTACAATCTAAAGATTTACGTAGGCTGGGTTCTTGTTTAATTCATCCAAGGCTGAGTTGCACCAATATTTAACTTTAACTTTAACAAACGTCAAAAATCTGTCATACTCCATACAAAGACACCGGTCAAAGTTATACATAGTTACCGTGAAAGTTAATGTACTTATTTATATATATGCACATAGAACGGTGTACATAAGGCGGACTTAATGCCTTCCGGCATTTTCCTCCAGTCAACCTTAGGGCCAAACTGAGAGTAAAGTAGGCGGTATAAAATTACTATGAATATAGAAAAAAAAAATACATAAATAACATATGAATACATACATAGATACATACCTACTTATTGTAACTGGGTAGTAAGTTTCTTCGTTAGTAAGTATATGATGAACTTAAAGATGAAACTGTCATTGCTTTAGGTAGGTATATGTACTTTTTTAACTAACCCTGCATGAATAGCGCCAAGATCAGCCAGGAACCATTCCTGCGAGTTGAACCCAAGGATGCAGACTGAGTGGTACCGCTCCAGGCCAAGTTTCAAGAAACCCTTGGCCACTTGTCGCGCCAGCTCGCGGTATTGTCTGAAACGGAAAAATCGGTTGAAACCATCTTGTAACCTACTCGTATTTCTAAATCATTAACGCTGAACTTTATAACTAAGCAGTTTACTTAGCTTTTACGTTTACTTAACAAACAAACGAGCAAAAATAACGTGTTCTATGCGAATGTAACAAATCTTAGGAAAATAGGAAAGTATAGTAATAGTTCAGCGAATAGGTAGAGTAGGTAAATCAAAAGACCATAAATCCTTACGGATTTCAGTTTGCGATAAATTATATTTTAACACTTGAAAATTTTCTTACTATTTAAACCCGCTAGAACTATTTTAAATTATAATGAACAATAATTTAAATTAAAAGTTACTTCAAATGTTAGATAGTTCGTGGAACAACGTCCAACCTTGAGCTATTAACCTATTAGGGACTTGAATGAACCGGACGTCTTTTGCTTGATTTATAAATAGTCCACTAAAATTCAACAAAGAGCATTTTTATCGTGTAACTTTTATTTTCAAATATTACAGCGCTGACTAAAACTTCAGGACTTGATGAACTGAAATAAGAAGAAACTTACTTGTAAGTGACTCTGTGCCATTTTCCGTCAGATTTCTTAGATGCCAACGCGATGGAGTCGGGGTAGATAGCCGCTATGCGCGTGAGCAGTCCAGGGACTGACACTGGAGGCTCCGCCGCTATTCCTCTGGAGGTAACTCGGAGCTTCACCGCATTCTCTGGTATCCATGTTACGTAGTCATTGGCTGGCACTACTTGGTCTGGCCCTGAAGGTTGAGAACAAATTAGTACAAATCCTATCTATCCTAGGCTAAGCTAAAACTACAATTTTACTAAGCTTCAGCTAATAAAAAAGCCTTAGAGACTGAATCTGTAGCAATTTACGACTAAAATTCAACGTCTTGCGAGTGCTTAAAAATTCATCCAATTTCATGCACGTCTGAATCTACTACTATAGATGCGTTATTAATAAAATAAGCAAATTACTTAAATGTTTAATGAAATTATTAAATTAAAGACCAAATAAGTACCTAGTTATAGCGCCTTTTACTGGAGATAAACATTGAAAAGATAATATAACTGTAACTTTTGTAGGTAAGTGATAAGTTCAGTTAGAAAACATTCATAATCATACGGACATTCTAGATAACAATGTCAAAGAACGAAGCTACACAGATAAGCAATGTCATTTATGTAAGTTCCAATGTGTTTCGTAATAAAGCGACCAGTATTTTATGGCTGTGTAAAGACACTTTATGTTCTTTACTTAGGTACTTATTTAATAACCTTTGAACTTGTATCCGAGTCAACTATTATTAAAACTTCTTCAGCTTAATTAAAATATTATTATACCTATTATTGTGTTAAGTCTAGGTATGGAGCCAAATGTAACACTTATAAAGTGGTACTTAGGTGTCTTAAATTATCTTAAAAGTAACGTCAAGGTAAGAATCTTGACGTTACTTTTAAGATTATAGATACTTTTGGTTGCGTGCAAAGGATAGAGATATTATAAAAATTTAAAACCACTTATTTGTGGAAAAATAAAACTACCTACTACTACTACTATAACTCTTATAAAAAATAACTTTTTTAATAACAAGCTTTATTCTGAAATGTAGTTGTACTAAAACGAAAAAAATAATTCGTTTTAGTACAACTGCATTTCAGAATAAAGCTTGTTATTAAAAAAGTTATTTTTTATAAGAGTTATAGTAGTAGTAGTAGGTAGTTTTATTTTTAGAAAAAAATAATTCGTTTTAGTACAACTGCATTTCAGAATAAAGCTTGTTATTAAAAAAGTTATTTTTTTATTATAATTTTATTTTACACTTTTTAGCTGTTTATCAATCTCAGGACCCTGAACATCATCTAGCACTAAAGTGCTCAAAAAGACAAATCCAACGAACCCAAATTCGATGCGATTCCTTCGATTCGTTTAGAAGTTCCTATGGCCACCTCCTGACTCCATCATCAGACCAGCTTAATGGCACTATAATATTTGCATTGTCATCGTACTTACATAAGTATACCTTTCAGCTCAATCGGTTGAGGAGAACTGGTCTAAAATTTAGTTGCAAGATTTGTCCCACACATAACAAGTGAAGTCAATATAAAGCTTGTAATAAAAAAATAGAAGAATGCACTTATTATAACATTTAATAGGTAAAACTGAAATAAGCAATTACCTACCAATTGAAATATTTTTCAAACTTAATACCAAATTCTACTCAAAGTCAAATTGATTTTTAAGATCGATCACGAACTTTATGTATGCTCGATCGTATATTTTATATTATTGTATTACATCTTATATTTCATTATAATTATGTAAAATAGACTAGACATTTGAAGACCTAACACTAATTGTTTATTCTGAAAAGTATAGTTAAAACTTTATTTCCTTACCATCCATATATTTCTGTCTGGTAATGCCATTTGGTAAGTGTGAGGGTTTATGGGATTCAACATCGCCGTTCTCCATTACAGTGGCCTGCGAGTGAAAAAATATCTGTTAAAACTTTATTACTAACTTAGACCAAATATTATATTTACGAAACCAGTGCTGCAATTATGCGACTTATTTTATGAAAGATGTATCCCTGGTTTTTTATAAATTAACAGTTGTAATAAGTAATCAATCATCATTTTAACTGAAATAGACACATTTCTTACTTTGATCAATATTGGAACAAAATGTGACTGTTAAAGAATTAACGCATTTACTAATGGTGATAAAACCATTTTAAACTATAATGATTAAGAGGGTTTGTACTCAAACACACCTACATTAAGCCCCTAGCTATACTAAGTGCCCTTGAAGTCAGGTGTTCACTTTTCGCAGGGGAGAAATCAATAACTTGCATTCTACGTTAGGACACTTACTACGTAGGAGGTAGATGTGTATTGTATCAATGAATCACATGAAAGTACGTGGAAATGAAACATGATAAAATATAAAAATCGATGGATAAAATTACGGTGTAATTGTTTAATCCTAAAGATAAAAATCAAAGTTAGACTATGACTAGGGTTATCGATTGTAGGTAGATATTGACCGTATCTGTTGAGTTCAGGTTTTTTTGCACCTAGGTGTAAGTATATTGTACGTTTGTTTTTCTTAAACGTTCTCATAATAGACCTACATACGTCATTATTATACAACTGCTTTATCCGTCTCTACATACATAGAGGTCATAATATAATTAAATTACAAAACAGATTGTAATGTTTCATGTTGCTGATTTTCAGTGCCGTAACTAGCCTTTTATGCGCCCGGTGCGAGCTTTCAAAACTGCGCCCTTGAAAAATGCTTGGTCTGGTCATTTCTGCGCCCCTCCAGGGTCTGCGCCCTGTGCCTGGGCACCGCTGGCACCGCCCTAGTTACGGCACTGCTGATTTTTAAGTTCTCTAAGACCTATGTACGTCAATGCGAAATAAATGGAACTGCTTCGTCTGTCTCTACACAGAGGAAATAATTATAAAGCCATTTAAGTAACTTGTATTAACGAGTTAATTTTGTTAACTAATATTTCTTTTTTCGTTTTATTGCATAGTCAAAGATAAATAAAAATAACGATCGTTAGTAACAACTCAGCATACAAAATAAATAATATTTAATGCTACTGGCAGGAAGCAACCCTAACTAAGTAATTGCGTGACTTCGTGGCTCTCGTTTGCGCAGGCGCAGGTATACTGATCAGCGAGCACATCAGACTATACATTATCGATTCAAAATAGCACTTATTACCGCTGCTTAAGATGCCACAGTATTTAGCTTGAAGTGCCATCTTCATAATAGGAGTGAGTTGTCGCAAGGAACTGTTGCAATCGCCATGCTAGAGTACGGTTAATCCTTGAATTTGCACTATAATTATAGAGATAACTCGGCTGTGTTGGAAAAATTACAACATTAAAGGGCAATAATGACAGCAAACTCGTTAAATGTGCAAGAGTCAGTTAATTACTCAATATTAATAGGTCTTTAAAACTGTCATAAAACACTAATAAAACATTTCTTCATTTACATGTAACCATTATACCCGTAAGTAATAGTAAGTAGGAAAGACGCACATGTAAGGCATACCTACAAGAGTTGTTGATTACTTACTATAATAATTTACTTAGTTCTAATAAGTTTTATTGGCTTCGTTTTGTCACCTAGGTAGTTAGATTGACGGCATTTTAATAAATGCAGGTTTACTAATGTTTTAAATCCGTAATGTTTATCGTATTATGTTGTTTGTGTGCTTTATTACTAAATTAATTTATCAGTTAACGCAATTCCACCATAAAAGCGTAGAGCATTTTATGCTGCCCAGTTACAACAGCTATAAAATTTGGGGAGATAGTAAATGATAGCGATAGTGTTATCAGTACCGTATATATACCATAAGTACTATCCTATTCGGAGTTCAGTTTGTTGAAATCGAATCTAAATATTTGTACGTCGATATTACTTAGACATTGTTAACTATTCCATTACCAATTACTTTACCATTTTCAAATACTGGTCTTTATTTTTTTCTTAATTAAAAAGTAGTGCTGATAGCCGAAATAGACCAACTACATACGAACTTAGGTTATCTCAAATTTTAATTTAACCTACAATTTATAGGCCAACTCTGGTAGAGCACCACTTTATAGGCTATAAAGTGGTGCTCTACCAGAGTTGGCCTTAATCGAACTAAAATTTTGTGTTTTATTCTTTACTATCAAAGAAAGACTGTCTTGGACTAAATACAAACATAGATAGTATCGTTTATAATTACGCTCGTAAGAAAGTAGTTTTGTTACATAAAAGATTTTCTCTTTCGCTTTAAAGATTGCATCAACAGGCAAACATGTAAAGAGAGAGTATTTATATGGATAATATGGATAATAAGTAAATAAATGGTTGTAGTATTCATGAACGACAGTTTAATTCAACACTAGGACAAGTATCTGACTTTGATTTGTTGACATTTCTGATAGACTTTGACATAGTGACGCACTGCGCGCGAGGGCATATGTAGAGTTCGCGAATAGTGGCGCTAAAAATACCTACTCTATTAACTCTAGCGGACTGTTTACATACGTACCAAACCTATGTTTGTTAGGATGTACCAGGCTAGTGTGAATTCCAGATAATTAAATACTAGCGTATATATCCAAATGTAGCACACGAAACCGTAAGGATTTAAAGTCGCAAAAATTCCGAAATGATTAATTTATCTCAGTTTACAAAAATCGGATGATGATGTTGATTGCTTGAACTTCTTTCTGCATTGCAGTGTTGGTTTATTAATGCAAATGATATTCTGGTTTAGTGAATTTGTCGTCGCGGTCAGTTAACGGTTAGTAGGTAACGGACCGGCTTCGACCAAATGTATTTTGTGCGCGCTCTTACATTTGAGACGGTTGTGTGCCGTTTAAAATCAATGGGAAATAATATTACCTATGACTCAACTAGTTGAGTCTAGACTAGGACTTAGTGATTCCTGTCTTGTCTTCGTGCGTCTACTAAGCGGATATAAGTAGATTATTATCATCACATAATACGCAATATGTCCTATCTATCTACAGAATCAGATGGTTTCAATAGTAAATTAATTGATAACATACATCTAACATCTTTTATGTTTAACGATTTAGATTTTTTTGATTAAAAGGCTTGAACTTATCAAGCAGTTTTCAAAAGACGTCTTGATCCAGAGTGGTAGAGACGACACTCGTACTTTGGTAAATGTTACTAGGTCGCAAGTTTGCAACGAGGTAGAGTTCTAAAGCAATAAATATAAAGACGAATGTGCATTTATCTACGTCACAAAATGAGAATAAGAAATCAACACTAAAATATTATCTTATAGCTTGACCTTTTTTCAAAATTATCGATGTAGAGCGTTACTTCGCAAGAAAAACGCTTTCACAGTAAAAGTTGTTCGTAATATCTAATGATTTCGGTACATATTGAAAACAACATTATGGTATGTATAACACTTGCTTTAATATATCAATTAGGTACGTTACCTACTCGTAAGTTGTGCACCTAAAATAGGTACTTACTACAGTTATAAATGCGTTATTTATCTTATCTTCCTACGATGTTCCGATGACTTTAACTACAGTTCCATTAATTCTGATGACTTACATAATTTTGAATAAGTAAATATCAATTTAATTGTATAGGTACAGTCGAGTTCATAAACAGGTTGCGGTAGCGCAGTATTGACTGCTCTACTGCGCTATATTTTGAAATATTGGAACTTCCAATGTATTTATGAACTCGATTGTACTCTACAAAATAACCAAGTGTGTAAGCATCGTCTTAAATTCTAACGCGTACAAAATTAATAGTTGCGTAGTCTCTATCATACCAATACTCATTATTATACTATGATCATACCTCGCCAAGAACGTATTTACAAACACTATCAAACAGATAGCTATTATAGTAGGTAATCGAAATAGTTAAGAGTTGTAATATTTTGATGTCTCATTAGAGCCTTGCATGTTAGCTATGATGTTAGGAAACCTTGAAAGGCCACGGACGAATCCGGTCCCGCTAGAGCTTTGATTATTTTACTAAAAGAGTTCAATAAAAAAATTTTCGTACTGGTTAATGCAATAAAATAATAACTAATTTATTTTTACATTCTTTTTTTGTAAAATTACAAAGTCTGCGTCAGTTATATCGTAATATTAATAATGCCACTATCCTTGTGTACATAGCAGTGTTAGTGTTGATTAAGGAAACATTGATATTTTAAATTAAATAGGTACACACAGTTCATTAAATAGAAATCTTACGCCTGTATCTAGAACGCCTGTGTCTAACCTACGTGACTTACCTAGTTTGTCAGTAAGAATAAAATAATGTAATTAGGTTTGATTTTAACAACACTTCACAGATTAAAGTCACTTAATGCTATCACATTTTAATGAGCGCGCGTACAAAATTATACCGTGCGCAGATGAACACGACGAATACCGGGAGAGCGGTCGTGAAACGGAAAACGTCCACCTCCGTGACAAGAGCGGTGCGACTACGGACGCCAACTGGCGATGTGCCGGTATACCTTTACGTAGCAGCAATCATACGATGTCGACGGTCGAGTGTAAAGTTCATTTCCACACGCGACCTGCGATTCGCGCGTTTTGTGACTACATAGTTGACAAATATAAAAAACATTATTTGTTACATACCGTATTTTTTCTCTGAACTAGTGTCGACGCGTCGCTCCCACAAGTAAACCACTACTCGAAAACGGCTCTTATGTGTAAATGCGTGCGATGCCCGCCTGCACACGATTCTGAGTCCGCACTGATAATAAGAATAACCACCGCGGATATCAGAGCGATTACCTCATTACTGCTGGAAATGTTTTAATGTGGCTAATAAATACTGAAAATTTTATATTATCTTATCGAAAATCCAAAATGAGTGTTCATAAATCAATTTTTAAGACTAATTTAAGCACTTTCCTAAGTATAAACAAGTTAAGTCGTTGACTAAGTAAATTATATTTTTTTTGGTATTTAGCGATAAAAATTATTCGATAGGTACATTAAGTAGGTAAGTAAATGCTATTGAAGAATCCGTATTTATTAGATGAAATCGTCTAAATTTATAGAATGTCATTTACCTAGTTTTCTACACATTAATCTATTTAAAATGTTAATTTAGATAAATAATTATTGTCCCGTAAAGCTGGTTAAAAGTAAGTATTCCATAACTGGACCTGGTTCTTATTTCTAATACATCATATTCATAACACAAGCATAATATCCTTGTGTTACGACGAGTGGGTTCACTACAATAGTTCATCGGTGAAGCGGGTGTCGAACCCGCGTTCCTCGGATCCGTGTAAGTGTAAGTAACTACGAGGCACCTAGTTTCTAAATGGTAGGTAGGTAACAGATCAGACCGAAACTTTCTAGAATCTCAAAGGTAAATGTTTCTTAGCACGTAAGACTGTAATTATTTATGAAATTAATATTCAACATTACAAACAACAAAAATAACGTTAAACTTAGTTTGATGTTTTAGATAGGTCGTACCTACGTACCTTGCAGTCGTGCTCTTACGTCAATACTGTAAGCAATCATGAATTAGACAGTGAATAATTAATTATGGAAAGTTATATCTATATAAATAAAAATGAATTGATGTTCGTTAGTCTGATTAAAGCTCGAGAACGGCTGGGCCGATTGAGCTGATTTTGGTTTTAAAATGTTTGTCGTGCGTAGTCNCCCCGGTCTACCCTACGCGCGATATTGTTTTTCTGTGACAGACAAAATTCCACGCGGGCGAAGCCGCGGACGGAAAGCTAGTTCTCAATAAATAAATAAATCTAAATTATATAACTTAAAAGTAACTGACCCAGATTATCTAAGTTATGGTACCTACCTCTATAGTTTGCTAGTACTTAAGGTCTTTACTTACTTAACTTATCTTAAGTTTATTTTCCTAGGTAAGGGGAAGCCCGGGCAAACCGAATAACCCAGGTAAAGCGGATAAGCGATTTTTCTGGAACACAGTAAGAGATGGCTTTACAAGTTGCGGCTGCGTAGGCGAGTGACCCCTGTGACTACACCATGACAGTTGATTCAAAGCGACTGGTGCCTTTCGTTTATTTTTGTGACAGAAAAATTGTTTAGTGTGTTTTTCTTACGATTTTCAATCAGGTTTGTTCTCATTTAATTTGTTTTTACTGTTAGCTAACTCAAGAACGATTTAGTTTTGCAGATTAACAATGTTTTCTAGTAATATTTGTGATATTAGTATTACATTAAACCGGTATTGAAATGTTAAGAAAAGGCATGTTTAGAAATACACGTTTTGGGCAAAGCGGATAGGGCAAAGCGGATAACATATCCTTGTATGACTAACTTGTATTTTATTTTTCTTTTCTTTTCTTTTCAGGATAGTGTTTACGAGGGCTGCACTAAAAGTATCGGGAATGGAATATTTCCACTGTTCCAGTCATATTAAAATCTATTTAATTGCAAACTCCAGGGTTTTAAAAATCGTATACCATTTATTTATTTAAAAAAAGATTCTCGGTCGTATCACAAGGTCTAGTCAAACTTGTTTAGTCGTTGAGAAAATGGAATTGACTCGAGAAAATTCAAGAGCGATGATTTATTATGACTTTCGGAGTGGTTTAACACAAAAACAGTGTGTTGACCGGATGATTTCTGCATTTGGTAATGAAGCCCCATCCAAAACCACAATTTATCGCTGGTTTCCTGAATTTCAACGTGGACGTGTCAAGCTCAGTGATGATCCCCGTCAAGGTCGTCCANATGTGCCATAAATGAAAAATAAAGGTTGTTCCTAAGTTAAGTATTTCTGTGTTATTTTTTTGTTTTTCCTTAACTTATCCGCGCTGCCCGGGCTTCCCCTATGTGGTTGTTTATAGTTGGTAATGATAGGTCCACGATCATTGTTTACAATTGCATATTTACTGCACCAAAACATACACGAGGAAGTGTTAATTATACCATCAGTCCTATGATGTAAAGCATACCTACCGTCCACCTAAAGTTTACATTGTCTAATAATAACAATGCGCTGTTGTTATTTCGATCAGTAGAGTGAATTAAAAGTACCCAACTACTGTTGGGTTAGGTAGGTAAGTAGGTAACCTACTACTCTATTAATAGGTTTTTAAGTAAGTAAGTACCTACCTAACTCATTGGATTGAATCAGACTTTTCCTAGTAATTCATCAAACAAAATACAGATTAAATTTATATAACATGTAGGTAATGTATCGTGTAAAGAGCATGGATATAAATATTCAAAAGTTCTGAAAAGCTTCACACTAATAAAAGTCTCAAAATTAAGCTCATAAAATAACGCGGAACTAAAAAACTACAGTACAAAAGTAAATTAGTAAAATATGTTTCAAAGGCTTACAAAATCAATCAACTTCTTATTATACCTTAATACCTAATTTAACAACAAAAAACACCTGCACATAATTAATTAAACTTGTTTGTAAAGTGCAGACAACCAACTTTGAATGTGAATATCAATCAGGCGCGCAAGCAAAAGCTTATTTTCAAGAACGTTTCTTTCTTTCGATTCTATCTGTACATTGCAAGAGCGTTATTATAAAAAAAACTACTTATTCTATGTAAAATTACTACATAATATTGTTTTAAATTGTTATTTATAAAAAATATAATTAAAATAAATCCATAAAATATTAATTAAGGTTTGATGGAACGAAACGTTTTCGGTCGGCCATGTTTTCCCACAACAGCAACATCACGTCGTTTTTGGTAAACGTCAACGAAACATTCTCCAAAACTAATTTACATTGCTGATTTATCCACAAGTTTTCAAAATCATTTTGTTTATTACCTTGTGATATAATTAAATGTTAAAATGAATCGAACTGAAGGGCTGGTGCAGCGCAGAAATGTACTAAAGGATAGCAGTTCCGATGGGGCTTTGAAGGAAAATCATGATGTCGATGATAAGAAGAATGATAAAAATTATGATGACGGGGATTCTAAGGAAACTCGTTTGACTCTAATGGAAGAAGTGCTACTTTTAGGCTTAAAGGACAAAGAGGTATGGCTTGTGAATCTGTCGTAATTTAGCTGTATGTCGTGACTTGTATCAACATTGAGATACTTTTCAGGGTTACACATCATTCTGGAATGATTGCATATCGAGTGGATTGAGAGGGTGTATTTTAATCGAACTTGGTTTAAGAGGACGCGTTGAGTTAGAGAGAGCTGGTATGCGAAGAAAAGGTCTGCTGTCTAGGAAGGTTATTTTGAAATCAGGTAAGATAACTGCATCCCTGCATTACACTCTTTTGTAGTAGAAAAGAAGATCAAACATGTTAACTACTTTTTGTCAATATTATTCTAGTTCTAGGAAGTATTCATGCTATTATTGCTGAGTTTATCATTTTCCCCATCAAATAAAATATTTAAAATGCCATTTGAGGCATATTGTGGAGTTACTGCATACTTTTTGTGAACTTTGTACCACCTATGATGACGATTATAAAGATTTGATTTGAAAAAAGCCTAAACAGACTTTTAGTTGAAATTCGTAGGATTTATTGCAATCATTTGTTTACAGATACACCTACAGGTGATGTTTTACTAGATGAGGCATTAAAACATATGAAAGAAACAGATCCCCCAGAAACGGTGCAAAGTTGGATAGAATATCTTAGTGGTTGGTATTGATTTATTTCTCTTTCTCTCTCTATTTCCATTATTATTTTACTACAGTATAGAGTCAAACATATTTTTTTAACATATTTTACGAGTGAAAATACTTTTTATTCACCTTTACTTATGTGCCTTACTTTCTATGTCACAGGTGAAACATGGAATCCTATGAAACTAAAATATCAGCTAAAAAATGTAAGGGAAAGGCTGGCAAAGAATCTAGTGGAAAAAGGAGTTCTAACTACAGAGAAACAGAACTTTCTATTGTTTGACATGACTACACACCCACTAACAGATAATGTTGTTAAATGTCGCCTAGTCAAAAAGGTAAGAATTTATCATCTTTTTCTTTTGTTTATTGACTGTTATTGGTAATAATAACTGGTGGTGGTATAATGACATTTAAATCATAGCACCAAAATCATGGATCAAATTTTGGTTTTTGTAAGTAGTAATAGTGAGTTAGTGTACGATGACATATTGTATAAATAAACTATAATACAGTACGTAATTAACACCTTTAATAACATTCACAGTTGGTTAAACCCGATTACATTCTTTTCATATTTGAACTTGTTTACTCACACTGCATGCTATCAAAACATATTATGTTTTTGTCACTGGAATGCTGCAAAGTGCAAAATAATTTATCATTATTGATGATTTACTAACATACCGTTCGAATCAATGACTTCTCATGCTGACTTACAAAAATACAGTTTGGCTTAAAACTTTAGGCTATACTAGGTTTTTAGGACAAAATTTATCAGTTTGGCCTGAAATCTAATATACACTCCCAAGACAATCAGTGTTTCCTTATTACATTGTTTATTTCTCTATCTAAACACTAAACTATGAAGATATTTTGTACAATAAAAATACATTAGTTCCAATCAACCACATGGAATAATTGTATTAGTCATAGCATAATGTTATCACTAATTACTTAGATAATGAAAAGGATCAAGAATCCTTATCCAGGACATAGCATAGTGCTATCTGTGACTAATTTTGTGTAAATCTACTAGACTTGTAATTTTACGTAATTAGTATTTTCTGCAATTCTTTCGCCAATATCACTTCTATTAGAATTTGATAAGGTCATGATTAAAGATATGATGACATAATGATAATATGAAAAATATCCGAATTTACTTGTCCTTTTGGGATCCTATTTATCAAAGAAAATTCTGATAAATTATCCTGTTAGGTAAGGATAAACACATGTCAATGTATGTATGGAACATGCAAGGATTTTTTATTTTTCACATTTCAGTAGCCTTGGTATTATAAAATCAGTGTGCTTTTCTTCCACAAAAATTTCAAAAGATACCTAAGATATAGACGTTAGTGATCTCATGACGTCATTGGTCATGCTAGCTAGAATGACACGCGAGTCCCATACAAGTTACTATGGGAGGGTGACATTTGACGTCACGCTCAGCTATTTCCGTATAAAGTTCAAACACTTGTAACTTTTTTGTTTCCAGTCTGATTTCAATACTAGTTTTTCAGAAATTCTATGATTTAAGTAGTGTTTATTTATAATTTATTAACTTTTAAAATCGATGCATACTCCCCATTTCGGAATTGGAGATGAGGCTAGGCTAGTTAGAATAGTGCATGTCTTTTCGTTTCTGTCTAACATTATTTTGAACAATAAAAAGTATATCAATATTATAAATATGCGAACATTAGACACGTGGGGAGGCCACCTGTCTGGTCAGCATAGGGTGGAAGTGTAGGCCAATCCATCTATTTGCTTCTGGTTCTTCAGAGAGTCGTTCTTCAGTGGAGACAAAATGACCTGCGGGGTTACTTCGAAAAACGTTATTCGAAGTTTCGAATGTTGCCATCCCTCTCCCGCAAAGCGAGATGCCAGCGCAAGCGACAGACAGATAGATCCGAAACCACGTAAACACTAGTTTGGAATAGCCCTGCTGATGATGAATGTAGAGGAGTGATTGGAATGTCATTGCTTGCAGGTGCAAGAAGCAGCTTTGCGTCGTTCCATCACCGACGTGGCGCACGCTGACAAGCGCTCGCTGGCGCTGCTGATGCTGGCGCACTCGGCCGACGTGCTGGAGAATGCGTTCGCGCCGCTCTCCGACGAAGACTACGAGCTGGCCACGCGGCGCGTGCGCGCCCTGCTCGACCTCGACTTCGAAGCCGAGGCCATGAGGCCTGACGCCTGCGAGATCATGTGGGCGGTCTTCGCTGCGTTCACTAAATAACGGTAGCAGTCATATGCGGAGTATCTATTCGAAAAAAAGGATGGTTAAATCTTATCGAGTTTGCGCATCCGGGTTATGTTGACGTTGTAAAACTGCTGCAGTGAAATTAATCTAGTTCTATTAGGCGTGTACAATTTTAATGATACGAAACACGTTTTGGCAATAGATGTACCTACCTACTAAGAAGAGATGTTAAAATTATACTATGCATAAAATATTACTAAATTATTATTTCGGTAAAAATTTATTGTTCCTGTCTGTAGAAGTGTGTTACAACAATAATTAAGTTGACTTAAATATTAATTATTGGAGTTTTTGGCGGTCTTCACCACTAGTGGCAAATAAGTTGACAAAAAAAGAATTTCAATTAATGTATTATTGTAATGTTATATTCTTGTATTTTGAAAACGGTATAAAAATATTTTTATTCTTTTATCATAACTATTTAACTGCACAACTGTTAACTATTGTGTAGATTAATTATTTAAATATTGCTTTTCGTAATGTTTATGTGATTAATGTTTTAAAAATTAGTTTAATGTAATTGGTATCAATCATTCATTCTAAAATTTAAGTTTCACTAAAATAAACCATTATTAAAAATAATTTCAAGATTAAAAGGACTCTTATTTTTATAGGAAATGTTTAATAATATAACATGTAACAAACAAGTCGTTTGTTACATGGTAAATATCTAGAAAGGTATAACACATAATGGTCCTTTTTATTACTGAAATTTAAGCACTGAATGTATTTTTATTAACAGTAGCTTTGATTGTTACTTGTCAGCAACCACTTTTTATCGCAATACAATGTATTCATCTTTTTAAATAGAAAAATACCCGATACGGTTTATTTAGAGTGAATTTGTTAGTTGTACTTATCTGCCAATTCCTAGAGCAGTGCCTAAATGTTTTATTTATTGTAAAATTATAAATAAATAAGATTAGCACGATTTTTCCAGTTTTAATACAATAGTGTAACACGAGATCACAAATGCATTGGAAAACTATCTTTTATCATAGCCTTGCACTGCACTGCTAAAATCCTTAAAGTATCAGTTTTATAATTATTTAATTAATATAATTTACAACTTTTGTATGTTTTGTATGTAAACAAAACAATTAATGCATTAGTATAGTACTGTATAATTTATAAATAGTTTTGCGGGGTATATGCATTTTTGAGAAATCTTAAGAATCTTAACTAAGTCGAGGCGTTAAAGAAGTGTATAAATCGTGTACGCGTGACGTCACATGCCATGCCTATGAAGTATGGGCGTACTGCCACAAGTTATACAGGGTGGAAACGATAAGTGATTTCACTAGATTATTTCTAAACTATACAAGATATCAAAAAACTGCATACTGATCCTAATTCAATAATTAAATCTTCCATAAATTGAGTACTACCACAGAGATCACTTATCGTTTCCACCCTTTATACTAGAAGTGTGTTTGAACGCTTATAGTGACGTCAAATCAGCAATTAGCAATTCAGATCAACTTACCCCTTTCTAAAAAAAAAACCCGCATTTAAACGCTAGGTTAAAATGAAGCGTTTAAATTTTGTATTTTGACTTTATTTTGAAGGGGGTAGAATATTATATCTATGCTATATCGATTATTGTCACAAAAATGGAGCTTAAACCAGTTTTCTATATAAAATCATGCTTATACCCCTTAGAAAATGCACTGAGTTCTTTATTTTTCTAGTGGCAAACTTGTTTTGAGTCCATTTTCTATCTCATATGCTCAGTATTCACATTGATACAGTATAAACAATATTTTGTATCGAGAAGGCTCAAATCAAGCCAATTCTGTAAAAGCATAAATAATAAACCTACTATAATTTTAGTTTAAAATTGCTGTTACTGTTTATAACCTACTTTGTAATCTTTTTTTTTATAGTTGTATTGCTATTCGTGATTCATTATTATTATAACTATACGGGGATGATACAGAGATCAATACATTCCACAGGTATTATATTTCTGTTTTTCTTAAATTAACCCGTTGATATCCTTCGGAATGTACCTAAACATAAGTATTACCATTATTAGAACGATTCAATCCCTGTATAGATTAATTGATCATATAAGTTATTCATTAAATGCTTAAGGTTTGATTAAATATATTTAAAAAGGGGCACACATTGGATTATTTTAAGTTTGACTAATTTTAAATTAACTTATGATTCACTACTGAAAATATGAAATATTCAATCAAAATTTCTTAATCTAGAAGTAATTTAGGACTGACAGGTTTTAAATTTGAGGTGTGTATTTTAACTTTTTAACTTTGCCGAAAATCGTATTAAATTACGAAACATGATTTCACCTTGTACAAAGTGTAATAAAAAGTAAGCGAGTTATATTAAATAATTGATGCGTGTTGAAATAATAATGCTTCGTAATGTCTCCAATAATGGTGCATGTAACTGGAAATAAAAAATTTAATTGTCCAAGTTTCACTTTGTTGGGGTAAAGAGCTATATTAGTGCTTAAAATTAGATTGTATATAGATATAGTTCATATTTGATATAATGAAATAAGAACTCCAAGGAGAAGAAAATGTATAAAATTAAGAGATAATTATTAGAGATGAAACGGATATCCGGCAACTATCCGGTAGGCCGGATATCCGGCCTAAATTTACTATCCGGCCGGATACCGGATAGTAACTCACTATCCGGCCGGATACCGGATATTAAAAAACGACGACAATTTCCTATTTATAAAATCAAATGCATTAATCTTTGAGGTAAATATCAATAAAATGGCTTATAATAATGACGGCTTTTATTTAAAGTCCAAAAAGTTACAAAAAAGCCATAATAAAGCCTTTCAAAAAACTATTTTCTTTTTCTGGGCTATTCACGTTAATGACGAATTACATAAATAGTAAATATCTGTTAATGTCGATATATTGCCTAATAAAATAGGCGATCTTTTTTCACTGATGATCAGATGACAATATGATGCAGTTCAGTCAGATTATGCAGCAAGTAAACTAATTTAATTTTCACTATTCAATCACACACTCACGATTGGCAACTGAAATCGTCCGAATTGATCTACTCCCTAGACAAGTGGCAAAATCTGACATTCTATTCGGATGGATTCGATTTTCGAAAAGTGTGACTGACTAGTCCAGTCTACTAATAGACCCACTGATCGCGTTCGAAGCACCTGTGCGGCGCTAAACTCGTCACGACATGCAACGAGACAATTGGCCAACTATCCGGCCGCCGGATATCCGGCTATCCGGCCTAGCAGCTGGCCGGATATCCGGTATCCGGTATCCGGCCAAACAACTATCCGTTTCATCTCTAATAATTATTATGTATCATACACGTTTATAGTATTGAAAATTACTCAAATATATCCTTAGAAAATTACAATTTGGATTTTTAGTTATTCTATTACATTTATATTGTATTCTCGTATGTATTTTATGTGTTGTCATAAAAACTGGAGTCCCTCATTGTTAATATTTTCGATAGTACTTAATGTATGTCCTTTTTGTATGTATATGTATGTATGTAATTTATATTCAGATAGATCTATATTAGCATGTTTTTCTTCGTCAGTAAGAGGCTTTATTAGAAATCTAGAAACGATAGGATAGATAAGGCTGTTATGAGAATTTAATCCAGTACTTAATTGCTATTGTTAAGTGCGATAACGTTTTATTAACTACATACTCTTATGTATTGTTAAGTAGTCGGCTTACTTTGGTCGGCCGTGAGACTGCCATGGCCATACCCATTGAGGAATTTATCTATGGCCATACCTAAAGGATGTAGCACTATGAAATACCTAATTAAAGAATCTGTTAGGAGTGTAAAAAAAACAAATCATATTCAAATGGGTTTTTATTAAAAACTTTCACACTTCACACAGTGGATAAGTCTTATGCCTCTTTATGAAACTAATTAAAACAATGTTTCAGTTCTTATTTTTTATGTAAATATTTGATGTGCAATATCTACATTTAAAATGAATTAACTTGGCCAAATGATAAAATAAACAATAAAATAACACAAGTACTTACATACATAAATATCTTAACAAATCATTATAATACATCTAAAATATTTCTGATCATAATAAATGTTTTAATTATTCCATTTCCTCTATTTTTTCTGACGTACAATAAAAATCTACGTTTTCAAAGCTTTGATCAGAAGTGTGTGTTATATACAGCTATTCATATTTAATAGTAATCGGATAACTTATACTAAAAATCAATAGATATGGCCGTTTCCAAAATCCAGATAGTCGAGATTTAAAAATAAATTGAATTATTATTCGATAAAACAACAGAATTATAAAATCTATTATTAGATATAAATACATAAGTAGTAGATTTATACATTTATTTTTGTGATAAAATAAATGTGACATAAGAGCATCCAACTTTCCACAGTGTTTCATACACGCGAGTGTCGGTCTAATCTCACAGCCCAAAATAAAATATAATAAAACTTAAAAATTACAATACTAAATTTTAAGCGTAGATAGTATAATAACGAACTGTTTATTTATCATCAACTGTACAATATCATTGTTTTATTTTGCTAACTACGTGTACTATCGCCGTCGCAGGCAAACATACCATAAAACCACGAATTTCTCCAATAGTTTTGAACTTTCAGCCCTTCAGATAAGGTTCATGTTCAATCGATGTTTGTTATTTTATGGTACGTTGCTGTGCTCGCGTCGTACGTTACGCTAATTAATTGTGAATCCAATATGCTTTCTATATGCAACGTGCTTCTTTTAGATTCAATTGGAACTACTTTAGTCGGGTACTAATTTAGATAAAACAGAAAGTTAACTTTAGGAATCTCATATCTTATTTATGACTCTCACATAGTTATTACATAAATACACTTATTAAACTATTTTTAGTGAATTAAAATCTTGTTGCAGATGATTGAGAAACATCTAAGGAATGCATATTTATGTTTTGAATACCCATAAAACTATTTTTCTACAAAACTTTTAAGTCTCCTCCTTATCGTAGACATTTAAAACAGTACTATAACCCGGTTTAATAATGAATGTTTTGTCACTCAGCTGTTGTGTGAAAAAATCTAACAGTGCTAAACCCCGTTTAGTTAATGAAAACTTTGACACACCGTGACGAATAAAGACAAAAAACCGTGCCAGACGGTGTCATAGGTCTGTTTCAGTTTATGAATAAGGGGCTAAGGTCCGCATTATAAGCGTCATTCACCAATCTGCTAACCGGGTAAAAATATTTATGTAAAGAAAAGTCTAAAAAAGAAAGAAAGGTCTAAAAATAATATAATCGGTGCTAAATGAAATGCCGATCAGAAGTATAGGTAAAGAAGACGCTTCTAATTCGGATCCTGTACTATTAGACGAAAAAGCAGCATAAGTAAATACATAATATTCAATTTTCCCTCAAATATTGTGTCATCAATATTCCCATAAAATAAATAGGTACATTTTGAATCTAGTAGGTATTAGAAGAAACATAGACTTGTGTAGGTATTAGAAGAAACAGACTTGTCTGGTATTTCCATAGAATTGAATTTGATATAAAGCATTTTCTGTTAATAAATTCGATAACTTTACTTATTAATCCACACGGCACTCATCATTTGGAAATGAAACTTAACTCTAAAAATAATAAATATATTATATGAACCCCTTAAACGGACGTTGTCTTTGATATTACGAAATTCGCAGTAGTTTGTATTTATTGTGTATTTTTTATCAATAAATAGACTATAGGTATCACGGCATTTATTACTAACATTGGCTAGTTAGCTAACTGATGCATAACGTTCGGCAAATTGGACCATTAAGGGGCAGTTGAGAGGACTAGAACGAATTGAAAATTAGCAGAAAGTTAAAGCATTCAATTTACCATAAATAACTAGGGTCTACACTTAATGTAACATTGAGTCGTAAATATTTAATTGTTTCATAAGTTGGTACCTCTCCTACTTGGTATTTATTACATTGCATAATTTACTTTTTACACAGGTACCTACCTAAACACGCCCGGTTTCTGAGCCGATCAGAATAACCGCCTCTACTTATGCTTACCTAATATTTAATTTAGGTGCTTAATCACAGGTTACTGATGATGTGGCAATTGTTGTTACCAAGCTCAGAATCTGGCAGTAAATGGTTGGTTAAGGTCTTTAGCGTTACCATTAATTGTAATTTACAGGTGGCGCATATTCATTTAGGTAATTTTAAATTAAAAAACATTATTGCATAAATAATTAGGTAATTCTGTGTCCTAATATTAAAAAATGGAGTTTGTGTAATCAGAACTAATTACTAGACGCCACCGGTTCTTAGTGCGGTTCCTGCCGCGTTGATTCAATCAAGCCGACTTGTACCAAGATCCATTCGTTCTAGTTCCTCATGAGATCGCGAGGCTAATCACATGGTAGAGGGGCGGGCGGCCACGGGGTGGGCCACTGTCACCACGCCTCCGTGTAGCGGATGTCATACTCTTGGAGGTGGGGCAGCCGCTGGCGCAGGTTTTCGAACGCCTCGGCCGATAACTTTGTACTGTTCAGGTTCAACCGCTGCAGGTTTGATAATCCTGTAACAAATAAAAGTTGGATGTCATATTTGAGATTTCAGTTCGAAGTTTTGGGGAAAGAATTAGGACTCATAATCACCAATTATTAGACGTATTTCTTAGGAGGACGTATTTCGATACTTTTCGTAGATTTTATTAACATTTTGAACTTATGACGTCACAAATAGATACTGAATTTTACAGTAAACTGAAAAGTAATCGATTTTTCAAGGCTAAATTACGCCTCTAAACGTATTTCGGAATTAATTGGTTAAAGAACTTCCCAACTTATTTGTGTTTTAACATACAGCTGTCTTCAAAAAACAATTTGGTAACACCGTTTTTACAAGTCATCACAACCATTAATGAAAACATGAAAAATACCTGACAAAGCTTCAATTCCTTTGTCGGAGACGGGCGTCTCGCACAGATTCAGGACTTGAAGGCGAGGCAGGTGCTCTGCGATGAGTTGCACGCCGCTGTCGCCGAATTTAGTAGCCCATAGATTCAGGTAACGAAGTGAGGGGAGCTGGAATAAAGTAATAACGTCATTATCTAAGGAAATAGAGCTATGTAATTATTATCTAAGGAACTTGGGAATAGAAAATAATAAGTCAAGCAACTTATTCTATGCTCTAATCATCAGCTCATAGGTAAGTTGTTAATGTTGTTAAATGGCGGTTAAGCGCAGTTCCACTGTCCGTCTGTTTTGCAGGACCGCACACAGAAAATTGTATGACATCTTAGGTGGGTTAAGTTGAGTGGAATCGTTACCAACGAACGGTTAGTGTGCGGTGTAGTCTTGCAAGCTCACAACTGACGCACGCCCTTCTCAAAACGACTACTGAATGAAGAGGTTTACGAGAGTTTGTTCCTCAATTCCCCGCCAATTTATAGTCGAACTGCATTCTTATGGTGCGTCCTCACTGGGCGAATGTGCTCGCGCGGTACGCTTGTCATCCTGCTCACTCTGCTCTTGAGTAAGCAGGATGTTGAGTTTGCCGCGCGAGCCCATTCGCCCAGTCTGGACGCACCATTACGTAAATGTTATTTACCTTTATAAGGTGGTGTGCGCACGCGCTGGTGACGCTGGTGAAGGCGAGCGAGAGGCACTCGAGGTTGCCGAGCGCGCCGGCCTTGAGCAAAGCCTCCACGTCCGCGTCCGTGGCCCGTACCGGCAGCGCCAGCCGCCGCGGCCCGCCTTCTGCTTGCTGTTCAAGAAAAGTGAAGGTAAATAGAGGTGTTAGACCGACGATCTGGTGAAGGTCGCGGGAGGTGCCTGAATGCGAGCGGCGCAGGACCGGACTTTGTGGAAATCCTTGGGGGAGACCTTTGTCCAGCAGTGGACGTCTTTCGGCTGAAACGAACGAACGAACGAAATAAAGGTGTTAAAGGTTCTCAGTCAGATACCGGCACCATTAAGCTAGTGTCGATTTGAAAGTAACTTCATAAGTTCAATTGCTTCCTGATGTTGTTGTACTAGGTAGTTGCCACTTAATTAGTTTCATCAGTTTTTACGGAGGTTGATCAGACTGGATAGGCAGAATGAAGTGGTAAATTTTGTTCTGAGCTGAACTGATCAGTTTTTTTGCTTGCAAATATTACACAAAGAGAACTCACCAGTCTTTGTAAATTCTGCTGCCTTTCACATAAGTCTCTATAATACTTCAGGCCAAGTTCAGTACCCTGCAACGCTGCTATTATTTCTAGTTGAGTTTGTTCTCCACTTGCAACTTCCCATTCCAGCATTAAACATAGAGCTTCTAAGGCGGCAGGCTGAAACGAAAATTATAATCATTAATACAAAGTCCAAAGTATGCCATTTTGTTACAAGTTTTAAGTTATGTAGGCTACTTACATGTTCACTCAATGCGACTAAAACAAAATCTGGCAGTTGCTTGCTCATACTTTGCAGGAAACTTTTTCTTTTACAACAACACCGTAGCAAAGTTCCAAGCTGAAACCAAAATAAATAAATTCAATACGGTGTTATTTACATGTACTTATTACGTCAAAGTCACAAGCGCATATCAAAATTAGTGAATAGCACAATAGAATACCTATCAGTAGGTAAATAAGAATGCAAAAGTTANATAAGTTAGTTTCAATAAATAGAAGTTTCTTCCAAAATTGGGGCTGCTTTTAATGTTTTGATTGTGTAAATGAGACGATTGTCTCTACTCTCTTACTAGAGCACTACTACTTACTAGTAGCAAGCATTATTTTAAGAAAGTGTCTAGGTAATTTTTGAATTTCACGTATATATAGGTGTACCTAAGTTATTAAGTGGCTTACCATATCACCCCAAAGCTGGCACAGCTCCTGGCTAGGCAGGGCCAGCAGCGGGTCAGACGGCGCCGCCGCACGAAGCCACGAAGGCGGGGAAGGCCGCGCCGCGCGACACGGAGCGACGCACGCGTGCGCGCCGCAGCGCGAGTCGTGCGCCAGCGCAGACAGCACGCGGCCTAAACGCTTCGCCACGCGCGGGCAGCTCAGCGCGCCCGAGCACAGAGGAACGGGCTGCAGAACCGCGCCCACTACTACTAGCCAGTCTTCGTATTCGCACCTGCGATAAAAACGCTTATTAGAGTCAGCATATTGGCTTATTTTTTGCTTCTGGTGAATTTTTCTTCTTTTACAAGATTAATTTAGATAAAATGTAGGTTAAGTACGAAGAGAAGATTTATGACGTAAGAAGAGTAGAGTCAAATTATATCGTAACTCTATATTTATTGAAGGATTGAGGAAGCAATCTTAGCAATCATTTCTTTGGCGCCTTATAACGTTTCACATCACGATTACGATTTCTATATGACTAACATGACGATAAAAGAAGAAAACCCTTCCGCAGCGTCAAAGTACATAATCATCAGCAGTCAGGAAGAGCTGGGCAATGACCGATGCGGCGTCAGCCTAGGGCGATGCCCTCGATGTTAGTAGCGTACCAACTCACATGTGCTCTAGAATATCCGCGAAGCACAGCACTTCTTCCTCAGCATCGTCACATACGTGTGGCGCCGTCGAGGAGCGGTATAGTGGTGGTCGATGGCCACCAGGGCCACACGGCCGCGAAATTGAGAGCATTGGACTTATAAAACGACAGTAGCCTACTCACATGTGCTCCAGAATATCCGCGAAGCACAGCACTTCTTCCTCAGCATCGTCACACACGTGCGGCGCCGTCGAGGAGCGGTAGTGGTGGTCGATGGCTGCTAATGCTACCGCTGCAAGGTTGGGAGCGGCTCGCGGGTGCGGGCACGTGGCGCGCCGCCCGCCGTGCGTCACCTCCACGAAGCGACGCACCAGGGCTGCCCCCGAGTTGTGAGCACTTAACGCACTGCAAAATTAAGAGAACCATGAAAAAAATATCCAAGTGTACGACTGTTAAGACAGGGGCAAGGAACTGAGAAAGTAGAGTCGATTATTTTAATTTTTTAATAGGACATAGGGATATCTCGAAGAGCTGTATCATCATAACGTTTCTCGTCTATGGCTTGATTAGTTTCATCAAGTGTTCTTTGCCTACAGAAATGATTTATTAATTGCGTGATACATTAAAACTAATTAATGTGATTGGAATTTCATTGACCTAATGTTAATTGATTTACTTATACCTATTTGCGTCACATTGAGATATAATATTGAGTTAGAACGGGCAAGGTAACGATCACAATTGAGTTAGTATGTCATCCAATCAGACCAATTATGATGTAGATACTTCAATTTAATGAGTTAACTTCGACCACAGTTCATTTAAGAGGGCCATCTTACGAGCTATGACGCACGTTGTTTGGGTTTTCGGGCAAATTTTCAAGCGCACTTTACAGTAGAAACTGAGGCGTCATTCGTACTTTATTATTAGGTCTAGGCGTGTTTAAGGGCAAGGACGCGTTGCAGAAATGCAAAATAAATAGGTATAACGCTACATTATGTAAGTATATGAATTGTTTCCCCTTCATAGATTTATTTACTTACTTACATTACCTACTTTTATTTCTTGCAGCGACATTAAAATTTGTTTGACGTCAGTACAGCTGATAAATCTAACATTTACCTGATGAGTCTAATAAACTAACCTGCATTGTAACCAAATGAGGCTAAGAGGCTCATTTGTTATTCCGATCAGATAAAACTCAGACGTGTATCTTTCATAATGTGTTTGGATGGGCCAAATGTTAAATAAGGCTCAGTTAATGGTCACTTATCAGTTTTGTCCTTCACGGTGACCTCAGCTATTGAGTTTGCTACCTGTTTACTGTTTGTACTTAGCGAATAAATCAATAATTGTATGTAACTTTTTGAAATGATGTAGACAGGTTGGTACAACTCTACATTTTACGATCTCTGACAACTAAGTAGTAAGTAGTACCTACTCAGATATAGGCATTGTAAAGATAGATTTTCAAATGTAGGCAGTATTTAATGCCTAAAACCCACGCTCTTTCATGAAATTCATAGTAATCTTTTAAAGAAAAGTTCGACATTTAAGGTGCACTTCCCCCTACACTAAGTATAAATAACTAACTTTACTTGATAGGCACAGAAAGAAATTTTAATATTCTGAAATGCTGATCCGGATACATTTCACTGTTTTTCAGCATTTATCGGAAAAACATTGCCTGAACTTCGTCTTTGTAGGCATTTTCAAAATAGGTAGCTCTATCATTATCTCATCAATTGGACTACATCCTACACTTAACTTGTATAATATATTTAACAAATGTTTTGCGTAACCTTTACATAACAGTACTACAGTACAAACTACTATGACGCTCATTTATGAGGTAAGTAAATAAGTAGCTAATGTAAATAAGTCATTCTCTTTTGTGACTTTTACTTGTATATTGCCGATGATAAAAAATCTCGTGTTTCTGAGTACGTTACTTGCAAAAGTATTAAGTGTGACGTAAGTAAGTGGTCATTGTGAATTTACGTTCGTCAGTTACGCACTACTCTACTCATTGTAACAGTTAATATAAATATATGGAAATATTATTACCATTTATTTCCGTCATATCCAATATGTAGGCTAGAATTTTAATATTTAAACTACTCTGTCCTTTAATTTAATCATCAACCATTTTGTTAGGTACGTACTCGTATTTGGACAGATATGTAGATAGTTACCTAAAAAGATGACATAATGTTCTTATTTAAGCATAAACAATAACTTTTCGTGTTAGTTTATGAAAACTGTACATCATCATTGATACCTACTTGACGACGTAACTATGGGTGCAATACTTTCTGTTAAAGCCAGAAATAAACGCGGGCTAAAGCCAGAGCAGCAGCTATAACTTAATGTGGTATATGTATAACTAGGTATTTCGTTGTTTACCTAATATAATCTTTGACGAGCTGCCGAGCGTTGGGCGCCCTAGCGAAGTCCACGTTTCTCGTGAGCACTCGTCGCACCGGCGGCGCCAGCGCAGGCAGCGGCGCTGCTCTAGGCCTCCGCCGACAAAGCCGAGCCAGCAACGCACACAGCTCGCCCGTAGCACACCGCTCAGCCAGAAGCGGAGCCGCCGCGCTAGTCACATTCTCCGCCCACTCCTCCCAATCAGAGCTCTCCTTTCTCTAAAACAAGCATTCTATATCAGTATACCTAATACTCATAAATATCTTATTTATAACCAACCAGGTTTCGCCTGTGGTGTAGTTTTCAGTTCGTAAAAGCTTTCATGAGACTACGCATGTTATCAGTAGATTTATGAAATCCATTGCTTTTGGGAAAAACAAGAAGATCAATAACCTACGATTTTGGTGTAATAGACTGAAAATTATGTACGTAGGTTACAGTAATGGAGTGATGCGGAAGGGGTGACATGAGTGGTAACATTTCTGAAACACATCTGAAGTAAAATTTACGTAACAAAAACAGACCCTCCCGCACCGTACCATAATCACGGGGACCTAATTAGTTGAGTGGTACTACCTGAGTACCTACCTACTTACTTAACAAGACGATTCTTTCATAAAATATTGAGGACCGTGTATTCCTTGAGATGTATGTAAAGTAGTAAAAAAATGATTAAGGCTATCCTTTACGCAGGCACCTTGTAAAAACTAGCAAATGTTTATGTTGGCCCGCGCGCTGTTAGCGAGTCGACTCCAGCGCCGACGTCAATCACCCGCTTGATGAAAACATCACGAACGTTTCAAGTGCACACATTATGCTGTGTATATGTTTATTATCAAATAAGTATTCGACAATCATTAAATTGTTATATTTAAACTACGCACACTATTTAATCATACGTTGTTCTGTTTTTGTAAGAACGTTGGTTTACGCATGTTTCAGCCTCTACGTTTATTAGTATAAATACATTTATTAGTAGGATCAATGAGATTTTCTGTCTTACCTCTGATAATAAATCTGTGAGTATCTGCAAAGGCGCCCGAGTAACGCTTTCGTCTTGCAACGGTGTCGTCATAACGAAATCAACCATATTCTACAACAACAAACAAGATATTGATCAGTATTTTCAGTTACAGTAGGTACATTTTCCTTCGTGTAAAGAACGTCATTTAAAAATAATTAGCAACAAACCTTTAATTCTTTAAGCACCACCTCTCTTCTTACAGACTTCGTTAGGAAATGTCGGTATCTTATAATGTTCCTCTGTAAAAAAGAAAATGAAGTTAAAATTATATCTACCCACCTGAAAATGCAAAATGAATTTCAAAGGGCGGGTAAACTTACCCTCCATACAATGGAATGATACCACTGGTCTCTTGTGTAAACATCGTTAGCCTGGAATACAAATAACCAACGATCAGTATGAATTAGTGGTTGGTAGGTTAATGATTACCTACTGTGAAGCATTTTAAACAATGAAAGTGACTTATTAATAAATTAAAAGTGGTTTTCCTCAATGAAGTTTTGTTGTGGTTGGTACTTCTACTATAAATTACTTTACACAGGTATTAGTTGAAGATCGGTACTGAATAAATCCTAGTTATTTTTAAATAAAAGGATCATAAACATTTGCATCAGTGCTTATTAATATTTATTTTTGTTTAACACCACTAAACCACTGAGTAGGTATCATATTACAATCCACAATAATAATATGTGGTCGCATGATATCTGGATCAAGTAGCGCCTATTTTGTAACCCAGATGGAGTCATAATAATATAGTAGAGTCATATTTTATTTAGTTACCTACCTACACGGGGTTTTTCAAAATTAAACCAATCGAACTTTGGCTTAACTTAATGTAACTAGAGATAATTCAATATGTAGTATAGCTTGAGGGTCTTTGTGTTTGTATAGGTAATGTATGTTGTAGTAAAATGAAAAAAAAAATAGGTAGGTACCTACTACCTATCTAATGCGCAAGTAGAGTCGCTATCGTTATGATCTTTAGTGTTACAAATTCACTTATTTACACTTAGGATCCCAGGGTAGATGGAAAATTTTGATCAGTATTTAGGTAAAACGAAGGCGAGCGAAACCACATCCTTGTGTGATATTACTTTTCAGAATTTGACCATTAAAATTGACACTGACCGGCTTCTTACAAGCTGTGTTTTTCTCAAAACTTTCAGATTCGATTCCTGTCTTTTTTTTTCAGAAAAAAACTAAATCACTGAAATGGAATCATATACATTCGATTTCAGTGGTTTAGCTTTTATTGGAATAAGCTGAACCTGTTTACTACAGACTCTACATGTATCATTTTAGTTCGAATATTTGTCACAAATGCTAATTATAAAAACAGATCAAAACCAACCTGTAATAATAGTGATCCATGAGGCATTACGATCCTTAGGCAGTATTTCCTCGCAGAGTCCCACCGTGAGATACAATAAACCTCCTGCATGCAGCTGTACGAGAGTGGCTTCTCAAGCAGACCCGAAGGCTGAAACAAGAGAAGCATGTTATAATTAATAGGGTCACTCAGGGTCAGTGGCACAGGGGACATACGAATCAATCACAGGGCTCTATTCAACGCTGTGCGTTCGATTTCCTGCTTCACTTGAGCAAGCATCGTTTGTGAATAAGGGCGTCAATCCACTCGATAGTGTGTGCATAGGGAGGTAAACGGTAAATGGAAATACCATTTGACGGAAACCACAATTAGGTAGGTACCTATTTTAAATTAAGATTACTTTTACTGACGTAAATAGAATTAGGTATTGAAAAGTAGGGATGCATTATACTGTTACAAATATCCGACCTATTTAAGTAAATCATTGCCTGAAAATTGGACTTTCAAAACAATTGTTCAATGATCATTGACCATGGCTCATTAAAACAGTTTAAATAGGAAGTCAGAAGCAATAATACACCTACTCTAACTGAAAACCCATCAATTATGATGCCCGCCATCAAACGAGGTTAATTTTGGGTGTCTATTACACGTTCCGATAAAGGAAATTTAGGTCAACGAGGGCCCTGGGATCACTAAGTAAGTACCTACTAACAAATGTGGTATGATGGTTCGTAGAGCAAAGATATAAGCAAGCATTTTTTTTTGGAGCCAAATAGGAACCTGAGTCTTATATTAAAAACCTTAGTTTACTTTTTGAGCCATTATTTTTTGTATTACAAAGAAATAACATACTATAATTAGATTGCTGCATACATTACGCATGTTACACATACGCAAACCCATTCAAAGTTTAACACGTTAATTAAAGTAAGTATGCATGTAATTTTACTTTATCTTAATTACTTTTAGTCCGCGGCACGAGTATATCGTGGAAACAGTTTTTCCTGAGTGAAAATACAAATATGTATATTATTATATAAAGGACAGTGCCAATCCATGTATGGAAGTTGGACCAAGTGCTGCCCAGAATGAAACTATAGTGCATTTTGTTCCTCAGGCCAATACTAATTTGTAAACCGGAGCGCACTGAAATCTATCCCAGGAGTTAAGAGAAAAAAAGAGTTTTGTTCGGAATTATTTACATGCAAAATATCATCGATGTATACCTACTACGCATAAGATTTCGCGATTTTGGCATTAAATAACACTCGTTATATTGAACTTAACCGTACTACATCCGTACACCTTACTTAAGTACGACTTCTACATTATTTATAAGCGATCAAGGGCTGTTGCAGTAGTTTGGTTAGTTGACATAAATTAATTATTTCCAAAATAAAGCAAGAAGTTTTAGCTTACAATAACTTCAATAATCGATTGTAATACACCAATAAATTGATTTTTCGCAAGGATAGAGAACTAAAACTTCTTGATTCATTTTGGAAATAATGATTTCTGTCAAGTAACCAAACTATTGCAACAGCGCTAGATCGCTTATAAAGAATGTCTAAGTCGCACTAAAGTAAGGTGTACGGATTCAGTATGGTTAAGTTCAACATAACGAGTGTTATTTAATGCCAAAATCACGAAATCTTATGCGTAGTACGTATACATCGATGATATTTTGTACGAAAATATTTCAAAACAAAACTCTTTTTTTCTCTTAACTCCAGGGATAGATTGCAGTGCGCTTCGGTTTACACATTAGTATTGGTCTGAGGAACAAAATGCACTATGGGTTGATTCTGGGCAGCACTTGGTCCAGACCCTGGCACTATCCTTTAATATAAACCTAAAACTTATGCTTTAAGTTCCCAATGCATAAGTTACTTAAGCTCGTAGGATTATTTAGAGAAAAGCTTCAAATTCGCAGTCCATTTATTATTTGTGGGGTACGAATAACCAAAGCAATAGTAATAGCAATCCAAGCAAAATTAAGCTCGCTGCACGATTGTTAGAACTATCGTCTCTTAAATGTGCTGGCTGTTAAGTTTGGGTTGTGAATGCAGTCGGGTCGCAGTCGTGTCGTGTCACAGACTCACAGAGCAATGCCCTGTCCGCACGGCCGTTGGGTCGCCAACCGAACATACTGACAATACTGGGTCACTCGGAGAGCCCTTGTGCCACAGTATGCTCTTTGGATATCGGCTTACTGTACCCATCGACCCAGGAAGATCGGTACTCATGTAAGTTTAAAAGATTCTGCATGTTTTTATTGATCTGCCCATTGCATAAAAGTAACATGACGAATGGGTTATAAGACGGGTTTTAGTGATTTCTGAACTAAATAATGAGCAATTCAATTCCAAGAGAGCAAGATAATTGGTGAACTACACCATGCGTGACCCACCATACCACCAGCTCATAACACTACTTAACAAAAAAATATACTACCTAATTAAGTAGTTAAATAACATTTTCAAATTAGTACTTAATAATTAAATAGCATAATTTTGTCCTAAGTTTTACGAAATATGTATAACGTCTTTATTATTTTGTACTACCGGTGCTTAAGTAGTTAACTGTCATACGTAAATATTTGTAACGTGTTATTGTACTGTATCACATGTCCAAATAAATTACAATACAATTACAGGCTGGAAATCCCAAAAATTACGCATTCCTAAGAAAGCATGTCATCTGAACAAACAACTTCCGAGAAAATTTCAAGATATTTGTTAACTCATACCTAAAAGTCTTATAATTAGTTATGACATGACTTAAAGATATGAAAACAAGATAAAAAGCCTGGCTAATCGAAAGCTGAAAGGTCTGAAATGTGAAGTAAATATTTTCATGAAATTGTTCTAGTGTAGGTAGCTTTAAATCTGTGCACGTGTTAGAAATTATTTAGACGTAGAAACTGAAATTAAAATAANGAAAATAACCGAAATTTACTTGAATAAATAAATAATGCAATGAAAGAAAAATAAATGTTAAATCAAGCGGAAAATTCTCGAATTTTACGGAAGATACAACCAATTGGTTTCAATTAAAAGGCATGGTCTGACAATTTTTTTGCCGGCTTGACCTTTACACCATGTATAAAACTACACGGCATCAATAGGTAACCAATGTGACGTCGAAATCTTAAAAAATAACCTCTGCCATAATTATTGCTGTACAGCTGTTTTACAATATGTATTGGGCATTAATTGTTCACATACAAAAATGTGTTATAGCACCTTAAGAATTTGAGCATCATAGCCCCCTTTGGATTGGACTAATGTTTTCCTGCTTTTATTACACAATTCATGCTGATATTTATAAACAATAACTCAAATAGGTGCCTGTATTAAGAAATGCATTACATAATTCAGTCTATCTTAAAATATCAGCAGATTGGTCGGTATAACAGGAATATTACAATCCAATTAAATACGCGTTGTGCCTAGTTGAGTTTGTAAATGAGTTGTATTGACTTCAATCTTTTTAGGGTATCGTCGGTTCATACTCAAGTGCTTGTTATTATGAAGTCATTGTTCAAAATAAAATTCTATTTGATGCCAGAGTAATATGAAGTTTTACTGGTATCTACACATAAAGGTGTTGTAACTGCCCTTATTACAACCTTTTTCTGATAAAGAAAGTTTTATAGCTACAGGCACGGAAAGGTAGGTAATCAAAACTTACAATCTTTAGTTATTAATTCCATGGATCCAAACAGTAAAAAAAACGCATAAATTACGAGTAATCTGTTTTAAAAGTAAAACTAAAGTTAATAACTATACATTTCTAAAATCAAATCACTTTCTACATTTAAATCTCGCAGTGTTACCAATAAGTACTACTTAGACCTATTACAGTTCAATAGTAAAATAAATATTTAAGCACATAGTTACATTACTGAATAGGTATTGATAAAGAAAACTATCTTTTTACTAATTAAAATTTTATTATGACGTAATTTTTATAAAACACGAAGGAATGATTTTGTTCGCTAGCTATCAAAGGTACATAAATAAATAAAACATATCGTGTAAGTACGAGACTGTTAGACTTCCATTACTACATAGAAATGATTACGACAGTCATGAAAAGATTATAGGATGACGTAAATGTAGCCGTGTTATTGTCTACACACAAATATTTATAGAAAATGTTACAAGATGAGTACTCGAGTTCGTGATATTTTCAATTGAAAGCAAATCTATACTTATAGCTTTATTTTAGTAGACCGTAGCAAGCCCGCATCAATCTATTGAGTAAGGATCTTTGGGGGTACGTAATGTGTAATAATAAATAGCCCGTTAACTGCAAAAAGAGATTAACTGTACCAAATCCTACTTTCGTAAGAGTTATCCCCATGTTTTGTTGAAGGTTAATACTCATAAATTCATTAAAAAATAGATGTAAAGTTTTACTAACCCGACATGTATAAAGACGGAACGTAAAAGTTGAAGCAACGTAAAAGAAACGACTCTATTTTACCTGTGCTTAACAAAATGAATTAATCGACTTGGATAACATTCATTCTAAAACTATTCTACAAAATATATAATGCAAATAATTTATAGCCTTTTGTTTTAGTGCTAGGTGGTAATTAAATAAATAATTTATACTATTAATACCGCTAACTATCGTATTTTTGTGGCTGTGACGCACGTAAAGGATCATTAATGTGTTTAAAATTAAAATATTCCATACCTAAATTGCCTATTGTGAAATCTGAACTCACACTTGAGGGCACAGCTAATAGACTATAAGCACAAAAACTATTACAATAAAAAGGTTCTGTATGTTGATTAAGTTGTAAAATTTTTGGGTCATAAAAGGGATAATGTTTAAAAAGTGAATAAGTATGCTTTTAGTTTTGTTGTTCACTAAAGCTCAACAATACATTGCAAAGGTCAATGGATTATTGTAATCATGACTGATGATCCATTGTGTGACAAGGCAAGCAAACTGTTAGGCCACTGCGTGTGTAATGATCATGGCGTAGTGTTTACTATGATGATGAAGGTATGGACCGCATTCAGCGGAGCTCGCGTGACGCATATTAATCGAATGCGAGGCATGTGAAGTAATGAAACCACGACGTAGACACATGCACAGACAGATCCAAACGATAAACACAAACAGATAAC